ACTCAGGGGTATTGAACACGCAGTCGAAAGAGCGATGTTAGGAGTATCCGGTATCACGAAAGTGAGAGAAGAGATTGGAAGCTCCGACCTACGACAGTGATCAGAAATCAAACACACTGTTCCACATGTCATTTTGTCCAAAATAAAGTGGGCCTGACACGTAATCCGTGCGAAAATCAACCAATGCACAAGAGCCGTTAGCAATTGGATACCACGAGATCTGAAACGAGCAGCGGCAAGACCACAGACCCAATGGTCGGAGTTCTTTACTAAAATCTTAGAAGGAAGATGTGACGCTCAAAGATACGCAGAAAGAGCAAAGCCCTCTGTACTTCTCCTGCACGTGACATTGAGAAATGAAAGGATTAGCAGCGCACGCCCGAGTCGCTCGACCATAAATAGGACGACAGATGACAAGTGATGATAATAATGAAATTGCTGGATAGTGACGATTGATAATTATAATTATATGGCAACCTTGGCCAAAAACAAAGTTGTTCGGATATTTTTGATCTCCTTCATTTTTTTTACGCTGCGATTTTCAGCGGGTTTCAAATCCTAGGCTGTTGCTGTCGTTTACAACTATTTGTATCAACGCGTTGCTTCATGCATGACATTGGTATTTTTTCGAGATAATACATAACCAGTCTGATATTCGGATCTTCAACGCCGATTTAAACTGACTATGAACTCGATCGACGTGACCTTCTCAATCGCTTTATAAGATGTCCCACTGTCTTCACTTCCTAATTTGCCACTTGTGTAATATTAAAACTATTATTTATGTGTTTATGGATAGAAGTCATCTCTATCACTCTTTTAAAAAAAAGCGTTCACCGAAGAACAACAACTTGAGTTGAGGGAAGTAAAGTCGTCACTTAGCATATCACATGCCAGAGCTACTGAGTGGTATCTAATTGCTAAACAGATATGTAAGAATTCATCTCTTTAATAAAGTCAATGTCGTCAATTTTTTATTTCCTGACTACTAGTTTTTAAATGGAAGGGTAAATAAAGAATGGCTTTCGGCTTCGATCTATCCCTGAGGGATGCGCCGTGCATTCTACTTCATTATGTATCGCTGGAGGTGACTGAGTGCATATCTGGCCATTACAATGACTCGCGGTGGTTCACCGATGTATCGAGCCAGTGCTGCTATCCTCCCAAGCAAGTCTGGTACCAATTTACCGACTTCGGAAAGATGGAACGCTTCGTGGGCCACGGCCGCGGGAATCAATCCCACGTGTGTGTTGCAGGGCGCCTCAGACCACTGCGCCACACACGCCCAACCGCAGTGTTGGTAAGATATTTGCAAGACTCCGGATAGCTGGTGTCTGCGATGGAAACCGAACACGCTATTACCCTTTCCTGGGGCTAACGCGTTTACCACCACACAATGTGAATATATTTCACTTAATACCGTGCCATTTAAAAAAATAGTAGGCAAAAATTGACGACATTGTGTTTTATACCAGAGCCTCAACTTAGCTTGGTTCATGCCGATTTGTGCTCCCCAGATCAATCCCGTTGAAGGGTGATTGCTGAAAGTGTTAGTAGGTCAATAAGACGACTGAGAGAGACGTGAGAGAGAAGTGAAAGACTCACGTGGTGTGGTAGTGGACGCGTTAGCCCCGAAAAGGATAATACCGCATTCGTTTCCCTCCGCTGACACAAGCGGTCCAGAGTTTTGCAAATAACTTTGCAGCGCTATAGTAAAATTAGCCTTATTTTTATTGTTTTTTTTTACGAGAATATGGTCACGGGTAATCGTGATGGATCTGCCGTGGTGTACGTTAACTCCTATTAGAGATTTCCATCAGAAATTTCGACCCCGTCAACTATGCAAGAATCCTAAGTTGTCCAATCGACTCCCACACGATGGTTGTTGCTGAAGGAGATTCGTTCGCTGCCAATAGTTTGATGCGTTAGTCCCTGCTACCCACACTGAAATGACATATCGACGCATACATCTAGTGAATCATTGACGACTCAAGAATAAATTCCATGTTTTATGGAGCCGAATGGGTAAAAGATAATGTTCTTAAGTAATTCTGCAATAAAAAATTGGTTTCTTATGTGAAATTTAAGCATGGAGACAAAATAACGACAGCGCTTGAAAGTCACTACGGCCTAGAAACTGGAGGAAAAAATAGGAAACATTAGATCAATGGTGACAAATTTAGCCATAGAAAGCCTGTTCCTGAATTATTTCCACATATGAAAGTAGATGGGGCGGATAGCACAGTGGCAGTGAATGTCTGTCATCACGAACATAGTGCTAGTTCGATTTCGCTTCGGGCCAACCAAACTCCACATCCACTCCCGGGTCGGAGAATTGGTACCGGACTTCTCTGGGAAAAAAAATCACTCTCTGCTATCTAAGTGGGAACACTCCAGCCCGGTTATTTCAGGACTCCATGGAGATATATTTATTTATGTGATCTTATAAACTGATCTTCTTAAGCTGACGCGAGGTTGGTACAGATCTTCGTTGTCGTTGTCGTTGTCGTTGTCGTTGTCGTTGTCGTTGTTTTTGATGTTATTGAACGATGGCTGACGTTTCGGCGACTTAGCCTTCCTCAGAGCCGTGATGTTACGTGCGAGACTTTGTACCAACCTCGCGTCAGCTTAAGAAGATCAGTTTATAAGATCACATAAGTAAATATATCAACTATCTATGCCGAGGTTCATAGAAAGTCGGTCTTTCGAGTTATTAAGAGATACTCCATGGAGAATTGGTCAGATGATAGCAATGATTATCAAGAGAGGATTTGCGTTTTTGTTTAACTAAATAGTTTTTCATTATTTACTGGTTAACCAGAGATACTGGAGTTATAAGCTCCTATGAAGTGTCGTGAAACGAAAAGAACGAAAAGTTTGCCGATGGTTCGACCCCATGCCATTAGATAATCAAGATCTTAACTCCTTACCGTTCAGCAAACTTGTGTGAGACCTATCCATAGAATATAAACACTGACTTTTGAAATCGGCTCGAAGTTATGGAACAGGAAAAATATGACTCGAACTCGAATTGAAGTTACATCCCTAGGACAATGGCGATCAACATGGAACACTACATCCTTTTTTGTACTCAGTAATTAACTTTGGTTAAATTGAACGTGTCAAGAGTGATTCAAACCGGCCCGCATGGGATCGAATAACGTTGACTACGGTAACGATGAACAGAAATTTGTAGCATAAATTTTCTCCGGTGATGATTCATCGTTGGTTCTAGTCATGTTTCGTGCTTTTCATTGTCACTAAGGAACAGTGTAATGCGAATGATGGTGTCGTTGTATCGTCACGTCGACAATTCACGTGGAACTTGTTTCGCTTCGATTCGACTGCACACAGCCTATCAGACAAAGTCAACGATTGAGGAGGTTGTTGCGGTTGCATAGCACGATCATTTTTCACGTCCACAAAAGCTGGTTTTATCTTCCACTCACCAACCTTACAGCTGCTATACGAAAACATATTCAGAAATGCTGAACACCTAAAAGAAGCTAACAACGATTCGTGAAAAAGTGAAGCAATCTGAGTCCAGAGAAAAATCGTTACATACGCTGAGTACAGTAGCGTGTGTTAGAAAGTAAAGTCGTGGAAAGAGAACTAGATACACTGTTATTAAAAAAATCGCCTCTAAATAAACATATAACTATGGAACCCTTTAAGATGTTCGTATTTGTGCACAAAAAGTGAAGTATAATTTTTTTGTCTGGTCTTTTTGTATCCCTTTTGGTTTTTCTTCGTGGCTCGTGTGTTTCTTCTATTCTGTCGCTTTTTTCTGAACAACAAACTAAAAGTCTCGACAGACATTTGGAATTCTTGAGAGATGCAATAAATTAGATCCGACTTTCTCAACAATATTCACACTTTTCCATAAAATGTCCACAAACCTGCTAAAAATAGAGTTCAATTTCAGCTTTTGCTTTCACATCATTTTTTTGAGTGTCTTATTAGAACCATAATGTTGCTAAGATATTTGCAAAGCTCCAGGCCGCTGGTGTCTACGCTAGGGACCGAATACTCCATTACCCTTTCCGGGTGTTAACAAATATTTAGTCGGCAGGAAGTAAAATTGACTACAATACGATATCTTTTTTGGCTTTTAAGGTTACAAATAAAATTTTATGTTTGTCAATAGTGAGATTAACAAGGTATTTAGCTCTTTTTCATGTAGTGTCACCTCGATTCTATAGATTGTGCAATTTTATAATAAAAACACACAAATAAAAACACCAATCAACTAAATAGGGTTGCCACTTTCGACTAGAAAACAGTTCTACATGTGGTTTTTACATCTCTGTTAAACATATTAGCAAATTTTTCTAGAGCGATCTATTACAATAATAATTGTAAGCGCTTTAGCAATGAGCTCGTCTATCACAGCAAGGAGGTCTTGACAGCAAAAAGCAATGATAGCAAACAAGAAAGTGAAATCTTCAAAAAAGGCAAGTGTTTTTAACTATTAACAGCAATGGAAGAGTGCTGCTCAAAATAACCATTCTTATTTTCACCAAGAACTCAAGGTTTTCATTTTTTTCTGATAGCTTCTCTCATACCGGTTTTTTTTTTCGACTAGCATGGTAAAGAAATCGAAAGGATTTAGCGATGTCATCAGTTTTACGTAGAACTGTTGCGAAGTCTTTGACAATGCCATGAGTCAGCAATCGTTCCTGCTATATGCTTTCTGGCTCATCTATCTATCATGAGCGACCGCACTCCCCTCTCATTGGATCCTCCCCGACTTGTCTACAAGCACCTACTATAAAAGAGACCCAAAACCACACTCAACATGTCAAATGCATCTCGCCGTGTCAATCATGTCTGACATCATAGAAGTCAGAAGAAAGAATTCCTATCGTTTCATTCCCTATTAACCACCTATCCTAATTCTTCATTCCGTGTTCACTTCACGCTGGTCAACTGATATTTTGGTTTTCTATACCAAATTCTTGTGGTGTTCAGGTATTTGCCACTTATCAGCGTTTTATATAATGTGCAAAGCTTCGTATTTCCTGCTGTTACTGATTATAACTGCTACGACGAGTCTCTCATTAGCATGCTTCGCTTCTGGTATATGTGGTGGTGGTTGTCCACCGCCACCACCCCCTGTTTGCGGTGGTGGTGAGGATTTTCTGTATTAATAGGGATACTGCTCTTATTAACCCTTTGTAAAAAAAACTTCACTGTTATGTTCAGGATGCGGAGTTGGTTACTCCTGTGGTCATTACGGTTGCTTTCGTACTCGAGCACGTGCTGCTTCATCACTAACGATGTCAATTGAAACGCTTGCAAAGGTATTTACGTTATTTTTACTTCACATCTCTATGATATTTATAATAGAACTACATATCTACAGAAAGCAGCCACTCCTGACGAGAAATTCATGGCATGCTGCATCGAAAGAAACCTTCCGGATTCGTGTCTTAATAAATGCTTATTCAGTACGTACACCAGAGCTGCCCTTCAGGTATCACTTATTTCGTTACTGAAGAAGCTCCTGTCTTTTTAAGTTTTATCACTAAAACATCTATTTTATAACACGATGTAAATTTTTGCTTCAGATAACGAGGTACTAGTTTTGGGAGTTCAATGATCTTTCTTAACGAATGAGTTGCATAGCAAAGGAGACATTAGTCAAAAAAGGGGTATTTACTCCATGGCCATTGACTGCTATGCCGGGAGTTCCAGAAGGTGCTGCAAGAATGTAACGAGTTCAAGAAAAATTCTGGGTGCAATTCCAAAAATATAGAACCACTTTTAAGCCTACATTTTCCTACATCGATATTTTGCTGAGTGTTTGCATGGCCCTTTCTCAAGAGTGGTGTCTAGAATAAACTTCCAGTTAAAAATGTTAGACATTCTCCAATATAAGTGGTCCCACCCCAAAAGAAAATATCTGCTGTATAGCGCAATCAAGCACCCTGAAATGCTTTCTCTTCACGATGAGGCAGCAAACTACTGTGGGGTTGACCTCAACTGGAAGTATACATCTGAAGAAGCGGGTCATAAGAGGACAAAAGATAAAACGCACAACATTGATCAACGCCTGAGGGATGGAAGATCCCTGCGAATCCTCTAAGAGTGGTGATTAAATGCAACAATTGGCTAATACAATAACTTAAGGTGGCCTACCGATGTATTGAATCAGTGCTGCTGTCCGCCTGGATAAGTCCGATACCCATTTCGCCGACCCCAAAAAAGAGGGAAGACTTAGTGAGGCCAGAAGGCCGGATCGAACTGATAGCCATCAACTAACATAAGCGTGCACCATAACCTTCGTTCATACCTGCCAACCCTAAGCCACAGCTGTTCATTGCACTCTGCCACCCCGTCCACACGGAGGCGAAAAGCACTACAGTTTCAATGTAAATATAGCATAGTTTCTTTTTTTGCCGTTTATGGAAGCAGCATAGCCATGAATAGCCAAGCAAACTCTCCACTGTTTTATTCTGGCTGGATTTCTAAATGATGTGTCAAACTCTTTCTTAGTCGTTACGGTTCTAGCACAGCTTAAGCTATAATGGATGAGGAATCATTAAGTGAAGAAGAGATTTTGATGGAAAGCAATGAAGTAGATTAAAAGTTAGTTTTGAGAAACCGTTACTTAGTTCTTGTGACATCAAGTTTAAAACAATTCGTTCTCGAAAAGGTTTGATATTAAAAAAAAATTAAATGAGGTTTAACGATAGGAAATGGAGGCGATTAAGGAATTAACGAATCCGGTATACTAGTTCTCACTTTGTGTCTTTATATACTAAAAGATTTTCGTCCATCAATAAAGCTGCACGATAAAAATGTGTGAAAGAAAGTGAAGTAAATTCCAAGAAAAAAGAACTGGCCCATGTGAAAAAACTTTTGAATGAAATCAATTTAAAACGTCGCCTTATCTTTCAGGCAATGTACTTCAAGCAGGACTCATGCCCCATACAGGCTGCCACTGATATTCATTACTGTGCTGCTCAAGGAAAGGATCACAGAGATTGTTGCTCTAGAAATGGTGTTGCGACAACTTTAGCTGGATATAAGGTAAGTTTCTTATTGTTAAATACGTCTGCAAATTTGGTGGCAAGAACTGTAGATGTGAAAGAATTTTACTTAAACACGCTCATTGCAATTTGTATTGGTTTAATAAAATAAATTTAACACTACGCATTGAAATTAATGCATGTGGTCTCGAAACTGTTGATGCAGTTTTGGGAAATTTTACTTGAAAAAAACCCGGCTTTTTGGAAGTTTCAGAAAGGTTCAACACGAAAAACATTGGATAATATTGTTAAGTTTCGGAGTTACGATCGGCTAAGGGCTTTGTAAAGTATGAAAATCGATGGAAACAAAAATGCGACCAGTTACCAACTTTATTAATCATTGAATGCACAGTGTAGGCATCTTATTACTCAGAATTACTAGCGATAGCAAATAAAAGGTAATGAATATCACTATTTTCTTTCCAAGGGAGAAAACTGCTAGAGTTCTCAGTGGTTTCTTTCCACTGCTTTTTACTGTTTTTCTTTCATTTAGTGTATGACGTTCTGTGACCAACGACCTGGTAATGTCACTCAACTCGACTTCACCTACCTGGCGTGCTATGACCGTTTCGAAAATATGAAAGCGTGTTTTTGGCATGATGTTTCAAGAATCGACGAATCTGAACAGTCGTTTTCTCATGATGAACGTCCAGAAATGGACCTCATATCGTCATCTCGACGTTCTTCATTACAAGCACAATTGTTTGCAGGTGGTTCGAATCCACCCGTCAGATTAAGTGTACCCGGTAGTGTTCGTACACTCCAAGCAAAAATCTTCCACTAATCACTGGTCGTCTTATACTTTGTCGTCAGTTTATATATATATATATATATATATATGTATATGTATAAATACGGAATTATTCATAACACCTATGCCCTTAATATACAAATAAAGTTGTTTCCTTCTTTTATTTTTATTCGTTTTCTTTTTCTTTTCCCCTCAAGTTGGAGTGGGAAAAGGATTTCGAAACTTTGACGGCCTGGAAAAGGCAAACTCTTTAATACGTTTCACTACACACCAAAAAATGTGTTAACAGTCTTGTGTCAACTCGTCAGCGGCAGTTCGCACGAACAAAGTCACTCGTTGAAAAGAACTATTATTTACACTGAGAATTTAGCAGTAGACTACTGCGAATACAGCCATGCAAACATCTTGTAGAACGTTACCTAAGCCTTCAACAACTATTAGCTATCCTTTCCATATATTTTGCATTACATCCACGTAACTTCACTAAATTATGCTTGACACAATTTAGATGTCTAGTGGGAACAGAAACCATTGCATAAATTGGGCTGTCGGTGATTCGGTTGATTCGAGTTTGCGCCAGCGAAATGGATATGGAGAGGATAAAGCTCTCGGTTTCGATCAATCCCTGAGTGAGGCACCATGCATTCAACTTTATCATCGTTAAAGGAGATTGAAGGCATATTTCGGCCTAGACAATCACTTTAGTTGGCCTATCGATGTACCGAGGTGGTGCTGCTATCCTCTCAGACAAGTCTTATACCAATTTTCCGACAGGGAAGGGATGGAAGGCTTGGTGAGCCTGCGTGCAGGGATCGATTCCATATGTATTGCAGGGGACCTCGAACTAAGCCACTGAGCCACACGCACCAGCACCGTCTTCATTTTTACCTGTTACGGCTCGGGATATCTGCCACCTGGGTTCCGCTCGTTTTTCGCAATCCAACCTTATCTTTTTGTTCTAAGATTTCAGTCAATACTGACCACCAGATTTGTGGTCTCTCTGCTACGCCGTTGACATTTTGTGTCATCCAGCCGACTTCTGTCTAAAACTATGGCATGTTTAGTCCACATTTTTTTCGACATCTGCATGAATGTAAGGTCTCTTCTTGAATCTTCTTAAATCTTAAACTGCTGACATTGGTAGGAATTCGAACATCGTTCTCTCATTTACATGACATTTACATGCATCACATTTTTAATAACGTATTTACTAAAGCTGGCTGTACTAGCAACCCAATGCAGTTATGGTTTCTCGACCTAGACAAACACACTCGGAGCACTTAGATGTACTCATTCACTTAAGTGTAATTGCAGCAAGAAATCCGTTGCTCATGAACATTATTTTCTTCAGCGTTGATCAAGAACTGTTTCTTACGAATGCACTGTCGCAATCGACTAGGGTTCTTTCCATTTCGCTAATATTTAACCCTTTATAAAGGCGACTTTATCAAGAAGACGAAAGCAGCTAGGCTGCCCAATCATCAATTTTCACTCTCATGCTAATCCTTTCCAGTTCTTATGTGAGATTACTGAAAGTGGCATGGAATACTTGTGGTGAAACGATATCGCCATATTGAACCACTTTCTCGTCATGTTGATGATCACATTACAGTAGAATGACGACATTCTGGTTCGAAAATAGTTGTAAAGTCTACAAAGAGGCTTAATGTACGAAGTAGTAGGAGCGCCCCGATAATCATAGGCTTATTTGACCGCATGCTTTATTAACAAACTCGAAGACCTACTGTAAATTTCGATTACTGTAAATGAGTAATCCCTAATACTTGGAAAGCAGAGACATGTTGTTTCACAAGATGCTGCAAGTACAGATGCAAGGGCATTCGTGAATTCGCCATCGTTTTGTTGCATTTGTAAAGTTGTTAATCCAGTTAACACTGACCTGGCGAGCAAATTGAACAGCGGGTATAATCGTAAAAATGTATAAACTTTTCTTGAAATCCACAAAGAGTCCGCAGTCACGTGGCCGATTTTCAACGAAGCGCTGACAAAGTAACTATTATCAGGAGTGAAACTCTTAGAGAATGAGGAGAGTCGTTTGTTACCGTCCATTTTTCTCTTCAAAATTCCATAAAACGTGGAGTGATACTTCATCTAGAGGTAACAATGTCCTTGTTGCTTTATATCACCAATAAAAACAAACATAGAATTTTATTATGAAAAGTATGAAAAAATGAGAAATTAAAAATAGCTCCGATATATCAATGGTAATACGAGACTCATTAAATGTCGATGACAGCGCAGCGTTTACACTCAGAAAAAGAACGCTATAAATGACACATTTGATCAATGTTATCAAAAGTACAGGTATAAACATGTAATAATCTGATTATATTCAGTAATCTCTTGTCTGCAAATTTAAAATGACCACAAAAGCCGAGAAATACAAAGACAGTAAGTGAACGAAACGCAAAAGAGAAGCATGTGAACTAAACCAAACTAAATAATGCTAGAAAAGAAAATCTGAGCACTGAACATCATTTGGCAGATATTATCTCAATCAGCAAGATTATCACGTAAGCAGTAGGGGTTTGAGCCATTTCTTGAACATGGAACTATATGGTGTTGGAATTCACTTTAATTTTAACAATAATAAATGATAAATAGTGTTCTAAGGACACACAAACACTTCTTCACCTGGGTAAATTACTACACATAATCTCAGTATTCTATCCTCATATGAGAGCAAATCATTTCACTGAATACTTCAATGATACTTCGCTTTGTGCTTTGTGGCCGGTGGACCGTTCATAGGCACTATGGCACCAGGTGGCGGTGGAACAAGGGGCCCCATAGGCCCCATTGGACCCATTGGCGGACCGTAACGTTGGCCCACTGGAGGTGGAAACAGAGGAGGCGGTCCCACCCAGCCTGGAGGTACGAACGGAGTGGCCGGTGTGGGCGATGGTGCTTCCCCTCGTAGGAAACGAGACAGTTCTTGTTCAGTGTCAACGATCATCACTAGGAACGGACTACCAGGTACGTGTTCCCCATGCCATTTTACCTCAACCTATAATACAAAAATAGAGGGACAGAAACGGATAGATATAAGGTGACTTTCACCTGATAGTCACCAGGCTCTTTAGGCTCGTATTTGCAATGAATTGTTCGCTCGTTTTTCTTCTCACGCTGCAAGAATGCATTTAAAAAAGCGTAAATATTTGCTGAAAGTCTGAGCTTCTGGACGATGGAAGTACTCACTTGCATCTCCACATTAAAAGCACCTTTAGGACCACGAACTCGTACGGTTAACTGCCCTGCTCCAGCACCTCTGGTCTCAACCACAAAATTGGATTTGAATCTACAATAACCACATCAAACTCATGGAATGAAACGACTGCTTTAGAAAACTGTTCAACTTACAAGCTCAAAATACCGTGTTCTATTCCGGGTCCATAGACGCGAACTTTTGATGGATCAGGAGGTAGTGAGACATGAATGATGAATGGGCTTCCACGTACATGTTGGTCATCGTATTTGATGGTAAGTGTATGTTTACCCACCTTGAATAGAGCAACTACAGTTGATAAGACTGAATTTAGAAACTATTCAGATTGTTCTTGTAGAACTGACCTCAGTTGGTTTCACACTCAATGTGTACGTGCCATCTCTGTGATCATAAAGTTCACAGTATGCCAATTTTACTGGCCCCATGCAATGAGCAGACAATTGACCTAACATTCAAGAAAATAGAATAAAACTAGGAGTAGTCACAATAAAAAGTGCACAGGTCATTTATTAAGTAAAAACATCTACCTGGTCCAGCTCGACGAGTATCAATTACTGTCTTGATATCATCATTAATGATCCCAATTTTTAGTGATGAACTATCAACTGTGATCAATTCGGCTGGAGTTGAAGCAGTGTCTGTATTTACCTACAATTCACACAACTCAAGCTAACAAAACATAGACTGCTGTAAATCAATATAATGACAACAAAATTGTATACTACTACTATTACCAACATTAATGTTTATTTAAATAAAGCATAAAGCAGTTTGACCTTAAACGGTGAACCCTTCACATGTACACCGTTCCAAAGCACGTGAAGCTCATATGTTCCTCCAGTGAGTGGTGTGAACGTTCCCTACCATAATATCATTTTAAGATTTAAAACACAGATTTCTACATCTGCATCTTTCACCTATTTAGATTTCACTACCCACTTTATAAACATTATGCCCAAGTTGTTGCACTCGAACAGGTACATCTGCTTTCGTGCCGAATAACGTTGCCGTTAACCGCCCCTCTGAAAATATCGACCACTGACCAGCGAACAACATATATGATAACAAAAAAAAGGAAAAGCTGGACGTAAACAGTAAGAAAAGTAGGGGCGGACCACGTGAAATGTCGCTGCCATCAACAATAAACTCATTCGGTTCCTTGAGCTGAGCACGATGGAGCCCGTCACCTCGAACTATTATTCTTGACAAATCGTCGACTGAAGAAGACGATTTATCCCTGAAAAGAATGAAACGGTGAAAGCACACCACTTTTGCTTAATTTACAAACTTCTATAAAACAGTTGTGTAAACCTTGTATGCGTGACAGTAGCAGTTTTTTCATGAGAAGTGGTATGTCTGTCTTCGGATGTTCTGGCACGCACTGGGAAAGCACTCTCAACAGGGAGTTCATTCCAGTAGAGGTAGATCGAGTAACTAAAACGACACTTCCTCACAAACAGTTGTTATTTTTGGCACATTAATGAATGTACGACACTCTTCATTCTAACATAGATACCGTCGCAAAACAGCACTGAACAAATGTAACACCGAGCATTCAACGAATGAAGTCACCTACCGTCCCGGTTCTTTTGGAGTAAAAGCAACACGGTACTTTCCGTAGCCAAGATCGTCGACGGCCGGACCATCACCGAGTAACGTACTCTCGGAATTCCGAACTTCGGCACGAAGTTTGCCTAAATCAGGACTATAGCGAACTAACAACAACCAATACTTTGTTTTTTAAATACGATTATCAATCAACTATCTGCACTATATTTTGTTCATACCGGGTCCGGCAGCAGTGGCGTCGACATCAAACACATTTTGCTGGCCTAGACGAAGCAAAAATGAACCGTCCCGATCCATGTCCAGATCGTTTACCACCACTTTTGATGGATCAACAACACGTACTGTGAATGGACTTCCTGAAAATCAAAGGTGACATTTTAAGGTTATTTAATTTGACGAAAATGTCTCCCAATGAAGCTGCTATAATAATTCCATAAAATATTACTACTCGGGCCTAAACATGTCTGTTGAATGTGCTAATGTATCATAACTGTGGCCAATTGAGTTTGTACAGTAGTCTACAATAGACATAGCTTTTAGTGGATTCGATTAAGAAATTATTAAGGCATATTCTATATTAGGTGACGTGCGTGGCGCAGTGGTTAAAAGTGCCACAGCGGCACACACGTGGAATCGATCCCTGCCCCCATGGGAAGCCAAACCTCCCATCCCTCCAGGGTCGGCAAATTGGTACCAGACTTGTTCGGGAGGCTGGCAGCACTCATTCGATACATCGATAGAAACTTCGAGTCATTACATGGGCCAGATATGCATTCAATCACCTCCAACGATACTTAATGAAGTCGAATGCATGGCGCATCCCTCAAGGATTGATAAACGCCGAGAGTTTTATCCTTTTATCCTCTATATTCTATATTACAGACAGATTTTTAAAAACAACTGCCGTTTGTTAAGTCCGCATGAATAAAGATATTGCAAAGAAAATAGACAAAAGAATGATAAATTCACTCTTACCGGCAATAGGTTTGTTATTAAAATCGATATGAACAATATGCGCACCAACTTCTTCAGGAGAAAACGCGACTTCAGAAGTACCATTTGGTCGTCTTATTACTTTGTGACGAACCTGAACCTCAATTCCATTTCCTGGCAATAATTTAACGGTAATTTCATCAAGAAGATTCACTATTACCTTATTATCTCTTGGACCAACTACGCTCACTTTTAGGCCGCCATTATTTCCTTTAGGATCAAAAATTAAGCTAGCTGGTTCGTCGATTTTAATAGAATGATCAACAGCAGCACCATAAACAGTTGGCTGTTGCTGTTCCGAGACCATGACTGTCCGTGGATATCCTTGAACATATTCAGACTGTGAACTATCTATTCATCCAGTAGCACTCCAAGAACACTTAATTTTGTTAATGTCTCCAGAGAGCATCTCTTGAAATCGTTAGAAGCTATAAAGGTAAGTAGCACATAATTGCAAAACTCTGTCATAAATTTCAATCAAAAAAGGTCATAATAATAATCTTACAGATCGAAAAACAATTGGAATATTAATTCCCGAATATGCACTAAATGTCCTACTCAACTCACCAGGAATAGGGAATCCGGCTACATTGACATTTACTCTGTGCGGTCCAGTCTGACTCGGAAGGAAGGTAACGCTATCTCCACCACTAGGTGACTTCAGAGTTTCTACTTTAAGTGGAGCTCCCGATGGATCAGTAACCTCCACAACAAGTTCTCCAAGTCCAGCATGCCGTCGATCAACTAAACTCACAAAAATCACTGTTTGAATATGGGCAAAAGCAACTTTCCTTCAAAATTATACCGTGGATTGTGGTAGCTTGACGAAGTAGCAATCCATCGCTAAGTCCAGAAACTCGGACCTTCCTCGGATCAACAACTTCACAGCGGAACGGTGAACCGGTTACTGGTACATCATCAAACGTCACCTCAATCGTATGTGATCCTAAAAGCGTTGGTCGTGTAGAAGTACTCAGGGTAATACAAATTTTCCGAATTTTACCGATATGTTCAGGTATGAATTCGACCCAGTAGCTATCATCCTGCTGACGATAACACCGTACAGGTAGTGGACCACCGTTAGGATCTGGAAATATTCTACTAACTACTATTTTTTAAAGTAAATGATACAGACAGAAAGACAGATACAAACATTCACAGATACAAACACATAAACACTGAGCAATAACATAAGGCAACATGCAAAAAAGGAAATGTCAACAGCCTGAAATGAAAGAGTAAAGGATTAACAATGAACTTCATGTAAAAATTCATCCAGCTTTCGTCACCTGACACGAAGACGTCGAGGTCACCATGTCTCACGTCATTGTGCGACACCTCGAAGCGAGCCACACGCCCACGTTGGGCACGACTTAGTGCATCACCACATGCACGAACGACTCCAGAGCCAATACAACATTCGTACGGACACTCTGAACAAGAAGACGCTGGATCTTCTCCTAGTAAAACTGGAGAACGATCGAAAAATGTGCGTAATTCAACAAATCAATTGTCAATCTACACCAAAAAAAGAAGATGCAAGTGTTGGCTACTCTAGAGAAATGATCCAAACCACAAAAAATTCATTTTCTTTAAAAAAAAAACAAACAAGACATAAGCTCACGAACCAGGAAGAATCAGACCATCGATATGGACGTTAATTTGATACAAACCACCAATAACTGGGGTAAACGAACATAACAATAAGCCAGGTCTAATGCTCTTCACATTACAAGGAATAGAGATTTCACCACACCGAATCTCAACTGAAGCAGATAGCGCGCCGCTTCTCGTGTAATCAACTGAAATCAGAAAAGAACAACTCCTTTAAATAGCAATTCCTTGCGAAATATTTGCTTTAAATTAACGTACTGTTGAATTGTTGTTCAACTCCAACATTATCGTTGCGCAAACCAATCACTCTCACTGCCGATGGGTCGAGAGCCGGAACAGAAAAAGGTGAGCCAGCAATTGGCATGCCGCCAACAAGAATTTCCAGTTCGTGACAGCCTTCCGTCTAAAACATCGAAAAAGTGAAATAATAATAATAGTAATAACAATAACAATAATAATAATAATAGTAATAACAATACTTGCGACAATACGTGGATGAAAAATCAGAATTATTAGGTGGATCTTCTTGCTGTGATATCTAGAAAACAGCACGGCTGCCCTTGGTGAAAAGCTAGGAACAACCTAGCACGACTAATCTCAGTGACCCAAGGAAAATCAAGCGTGACCAGCATTAAACCTGTCAATGAGGAGAGGAGAGAACGGATAACGAAGTTGCATTCGAACGCACACGCCAATCGAATCACCAGCACGAATGACGGTGACAAGACAATGAGGTGAATAGAAGAAGAGCTGTGAGCCGTACGAAGTGTGAAGACAGGCTACCTAAGTATTTTAAAAGGCATATATATATACATATGTATATATATGTATATCTATGTATAGTGATGTTCCGCACATAATCTAAAAAGTGATGCTTTTACATTTTAATCCTGGCAAAGATTATTTTGAAACACTGTAGATTGAAAATTATTGCCAAACAAATTGCCTTCGCTGTGCCAGAATGAAGTATTTTCAGTCGATAAAAATGGTTTCATTCATGAAATAAGCATGAGATTCTTGGCGGTGATTTGCTCAGAATCGTATACTGTTTGGCAATGAATATGTAATCAGCCTTCATTCGCTCTAGTGCATTTCTATGTACATAGCTTGCATTCGTGATATAGTGGATCTATTAGGTCATAAGTATGAAATACGCTTTAAACTCAAACTACAGATTCGTACGCGCGCTTAGTGCTACATGCATTGCATTCCATGAGCAATAAGTCAGCAAGGGAGGCTGGATAACAACTCTTGATGTACTCCACCATCTGTCCTGGATGAGAGGTGAAACAAAAAAAAGAATAGTCTGATATGTGCGAAAACCACTCGGTCGTTTTCTCTTGAGCTTTGAATGCCTTAGTAAAGCAAAATCCTTAAGCAATAGTGCTGGTAAGACATAGCAGAAGAACCATGAACTTTACCAGACTGACTCGTTAGATTAGATTCAGACAGCATCCACTGAAATCTGAATTTGAAATCGATAGAGCAGAAGATCTGGCAAAAAGAAAAAGTTAAGCGAAGCACAATCCGTGGTCAAAGAAAACTTGATACGATGCAGGAACGACGAATTCAGAAAAAGTTTCCAGTACCAGCCTGTTCTCTTCCAAAAAACCTCCATAAATACTTTGCAAATTTTCACAAAAATTTGAAAATTAGCATTTCTGGTACATCTTGTAATAGTTCCCAGGATCGACTTTCTATTAACCTCGGCATTGGAATATGAATGTGTCGTTTTCTTGTTCAGCAATCGCAAGGTTTTTAAACAGCGTACATGTACTTCCACACTTAAAGTGTTATTGAAGCGTTTGGCCTAGTAGATTGTATATCAGCATACCCTCCCAGGCTCTGAAGAAGGTGATACTGCCGAAACGTCAGCTACTGTTGCATTGTATTGTGTTTTTATGGAAGTAAATGTACGCTGTTTAAAAACCTCGCGATTGCTGAACAAGAAAACGACACAATAGCATTTCTTTTCTTCACAGATTTCTGAAATAACTTTATTCATTAGTTTTTAGGTTGAGTGGACTACTCACCTATCAGGTAATTAGTTCAGTGGAGCAAACAATTGGGAATTTTAATCAAAAAGGAAAAAGTTAAGAAAAAACGAGAAAGAAAAGCAAATCAGGAATATGTTACACACCATTGGCAACCATGATGCTATCCACAGCGTATCCGAAGCTTTTGATAGGGATACAGTTTGTGGAACACGATCAGGATCTATAAGGAACATATATGTCACACGATTGCTAGTGGAAATTGGTAACTCGAGAGCTTAAACAATGCCAATTATGAAAGAAGCTTTCACCTCGAATCGTTACATTAACCTGATCTTCTAAACCCGAAGCGATGAAAATGTTGTGTTCAGCTCGTTCACTGACCACTTCCTTTCGCACTTCAGATATGAGTTGCACTGCATTCACCAAGTCAACAACTCGTTGTTGTACACGTTCACCCACCGCTCGACCACCCACAAACGTCTCGATAGAGTGTAAACCCTCCTGTAACCAATAATTCACCTGAGGAATTCACATCATACATTCTCCAGACACAAAATCTTCAACGAACCAGTCTAAACAGCGAAATAAGGCGCTATAAGAAAACTGTTTATCACAGCACGCTCGAGACTGGTTTTTCACCATCTGACGACATTTTCTCGACAATTAGTGTACTTGGGGAATTGAGATATTCACGTATTTATAAAAAAAGTTTGTTGCATCACATTAATCGTATTTATATATTAATATATGATATTGCTTAATTTCTGATTCCTGAAATCCCGAAGGCAGACTGAAAAACGCTATTTAAATCTCTCAAAATTCCAACGCTAGTGCGGCAGTCGAATAGCTCCGGCGTTCGAGGTAGGAGGCGCGGCAGATGAAAGTGAAGGGACATCTTTCGTGTGTACAAGATAATTAAAGTTTTTTGTTGTAGTATAGAAGGATTTGGATCTTTTAAAAGAATTTCTTTAGGTTTTAATGGTTTTTATTTCAATTAATAGAATTCACATCAAACGGAGAAATTTTTGCTTGGAGTTGCAGGAGGTCATTATTTAAGCACAAAATGTATTGAACTCATTGCATTCCCAGCGTTACATATTAACAAAATCTACTTGGTTGATAACGAGACTAACTAAACTTACAACGATCAGCAAATATTACAAAATATCAACTTCCGGTAAATCAAGTAACATAACCAGAGCACCCAGTATCGTCGTCAAGGACGATCATGATAACAAGGGAGAGAAACTGAAGGCAGTCGGCAACCGGTTAATGCAGACTGGCATTGAATGGGCAAAATTATGGTATGGTTATTAATGACTGAAAACTATAAGCTACTTTATTTACGTTGTTTTGCGCAAACCATATTCTTGAAATACAAGAAGCCTTACGTCCTTGAAGCGGCACGAAGCTCGAACGAGCTCATCGTTCAACTTTTCGATTTGTACAGGAAGTGGACGATCGTTTTGATCGATAATATGTACAAGAACACTGTCTTTGTCATGAGCGCTAACTGAAAAGACATCGTTAGTGGGGCCGATAAAGAATAACAGCGAACAAATCACTCACTATCAAATGAATATTTCTTGCCAATGACGCACACCGTAGGTAATGCAGCTCTTCCACTTTCAACTTCCATCAAAATGGGTATCTCGTTAAGCTTTAACTTGTCAAAATAGATAATTATTTCGTGACAACCTAAACTATTAGAAGTTTCGAAAAATTAGTAGAACGTTTATTAAAAATGCAGCTCTTCCGATACAAACCTTTCATTGTTGGCGTAAATTCAGCGAAGAACGAGTCTTTTCTAGTGGTTAGCATAACAGGTTGTCGTGTTCCATCCGGAGCTGCATGATATGGACACCCACATAACATTGAACACACCACGTACAACACAAACACAAAACCCGCAAAACAAAACTCAACCCAGCAAAGCACGGACACTTTCGAAAACTGAGGTACACCGAAACACTGAGTATTCAGAAAATCAGACGGTTGTCAGTATTCATATTTAGAACTGACCGCAACCACCTGCTATTTGACATGGAATAGACTCACCGATCACAACTACGTTACATTCAGCGGCGCGACCACCCGGATTTGGTATTGTGAACCCATGTTTCCGCCCAGCCTAGGAAAAATTATATTCCTTTCAAAGCTTTTGACTACTGCAACGAATTACTTAAATATATACCTAAAACTGATAATTTGTCCAAGAAAACAACAAGAAATACCTGAGCATTTTCAAGCTCCTTAGTTAAAGAGTATTTACTAATTTCTTCCGGTGAACTTCCAGCTACACTCGATGACTCTGTGGCAACTGGTGACGTTACAGTGGGTGTTGCCATTGTCGACGACACTTTTTCTACCATGCATTTCATTGGAGAACCTGAAAAGTAGCCTTTTAAAAACATCAGAATTTCACTTAGAGTCGCTTTAGCTTAACTACCTCTTAGATGAATCCGTTATAAATAAACAACATGTAAAGAGTATAAATAAAAGCATTTGTAAATAAATCTGCTTCGTTAGACAACAAGAACAACAGAAGGAAGGAAAGAAGGGAAGAAATGAGAGAGATGAACGCCCACAAACAAAACGCCGCACTCCCGTCAACCTTGACTACAAACACTCATGTGTCAGAATTTACCAATGTGGGTCGTCCATTCTTACGTGACCTGCACATCTTCGAATCGTAAGTAGGGTAAGGTACGGCATAAAAAATCAGCCAACTGAGGTTGTTATGTACTGACCAAATCCCACAGCAATTTTAGTTGAGCGAGTTGGGATTTTCTAGACCTAGATTCATCACAAGCTTTCCCGCAATAACGATACTTCCGAAAGATTGGTGCTGTGTATACCAGAAGCATACAGATTCTAAATCAAGAGATCTTTTAGAGTTTCCATCTTTTTCTCTACCTCAATCACAGTATCCCCAAAGAAGCAGAGAATAACCATAACAAAAAGTGAAGGCGTGGGAGAATGAAAATGTTAGAGTTTCAAAAATATTGCAAGAAATTGTCTTATGAAAAACAGTTAAGAAAATGGATTTTACTCCGACTCCTTAAACGTTTCAAAACGTCAGTGCTAAAAAATCACTGTGAACAAGTGAGAAACATCCATTCAAATACCATTATTAATCCAAATCATTGAGAGTTCGATACTTCCTTCTAGGATGAACCGATAAACTCACCCGGAACGCTAACACCATTGAATCGTACACTGATCACATGTTCTTTAGCTTCTTGAGGAGTAAAAGATACCTAGAAGAAAAAAAAGGAAGATAACGTTCCAAGAAAACATAGTCGCAGGAAAGAAAAGAAAAGACTGAACTCTGAACGTACTTTGAATTTTGCTTGCCCTTCTGCCTGAACAAAGTTTGGCACATTATGATTGTCAACAGAGACAATTATTTCCATATTACCGGCTCCTGCTTGAGCCGCATCTGTACCATATGTGTATAAACATGTATATAAATATATATATATATATATATGAATATACATCTGTGTACATGTATACATATAGCATGAGAGATAAATCAAATGCCTGACATGACAAGAAAAGTTCGGTATAGGATATTGCGCATTGTATTGAACCTTTAGTAATATTATCACACCTATAGCAAACGTGCATGGCTTTCCGACGACGGCTTGATCACAATGGCTTAGACGAGCCATTCGTGCATCGTATGCCTTAGCAGTGAATGGAGACCCGGCGATTGGCTCACCTAGCATCGAGATATCGACCTAGAAAATAGAGATCAGAAGAATATTTGAATACGCTCGCTAGTGAACATCTAGTGTTCTGACTCCATATTACCAGGAAGTGGAATTATAGCTGTCGCTCAACGATATTCAGTATATTCAAAAATCCTATGCAAAACGATGCACTCAAGAGAAGCCAATGAAGATAGAAAATCTAAGAGCATAATAGCTAAACCAACAATGTACATGCCTGTTGAAGTGAAAAGGTAGAAATAGCTAATGTTCTTTTCAGATATCATTTTTTGTGGTTTATAGAAGACATTTCGCAGCGAGGATAATCACTTACACAAGACTAACGGCTGTTCTAAAAAAATTAAAGTTATCTTTTAGAATCTAAGCATTCTAAAGCACTTCTCTAAGGAAGAACGCATGCTATAAAAGCGACTTCGTTCTAATACTGTCCTAAGAAAATGTCAAAGAATGACAAATATAAGCATTACTGAGAAAATCCTAAACTAATTAGAATGGAAGACCAAATGATAGCACAAAGACGGTCTACTCCCAGCATTTCGTTTACCCAATGTGCATAATTTGCACCTTAAGTCCAAGAATCCCTCAAAATTGATTGATTGAATAACTTGTATTATAAGTGAAAAACTTTCAAGCTATTCTCACCTGGTGGTTTCCAACACAATTTGGCGTATACTTAACGGTGCAGACCGTTTTATCCTTCTCGCTAGGCGTAATCTCCACCGGAAGATTAATTCCCATAGGATCACGAACTCGTACCTCAGGTTGAGCTTCTGATGTTACTATACGGGAACAATGCAGAATACTTCATACAAAGATTACAGAATACAAAGATTAGCTAGACAAGAAAACGACATTCACATACCATTTGTTTGGATTTTAATTTCAGTAGGCTCGCCAACCGGCACCCGTTCGAGACCTGGCCCAGAAGCCGAAGCTTGCGCAGCAGCTACAAGTTGGCATGTGAAGGGTGATCCTAAAAGTCCTGCCTAAGACGGGATAAGTGACTAAAAGTCTACTAGCACAAAAACGGCCTCATTTTTTGAAAATACTCGGGCTATTATACAGCATATAATAAACATCAAGCATTAAGAAAGTTAAGAGAAAATAAGTTGCACGAAAAGACTTTTTGCACTATGAACCTAAGGTGACCTGGCGAAAACAACTTTTCAAAAAAATTCTTGTCTGAACTGATTGGCTTGGAGCAGGAGTAGTTTAGTACTTATAAAAACGAGATGACTCATAGTAGTTAAAAGTGAACATATGTACCGTTTCGAATCTTGACCTACTCCACTCTTATTCCCCATAGAGTGGACTTTCAAACTTATTCATAAACAGTTAAGGTAGTACATAGCTCTTTTCATTCCCTTAGTTATCTCATGCTGACAAAAACCAACAAATAAATGAATAAATAAAGTAGGAAATAGGAAACAAATAGGAAGCGAACCGGGTACGGGTTCATTGTTGAAGCGAATCGTGATAGTATGATCCACATTTTCTTTTGGCACGAAGGAAATATCGTAACGATGCTGGCCTAGAGCATGTGCCATAGAAGGCACGCGACCATCGTTCACGGCCACCTCGAGATTCCCAACTCCGGCCTCGGATGCATCCACTGGAAGAAAAATTGAAAACGACGTTAAAGTACTCATTCTAGATCCTCAACACAATACAATTTCTATGTGCATATGCCAACAAAAAGAAGATCTCACGCTTCACATCTCACTTAGAGAAAAAAAGAAGCAAAAATAATGCTCCATGAAGAAACGCTATGTTTTACAAAAATGTAAGTGTAAGCACCGCGTATCTCGTAAAACCTCAAGCAACTCAGTCACTAAGCGCTTTACTTCTTCGTTATCATGATGAACATAAAAACCACCTGTAAAGTAAACCGGTTTCTCCAGAAGACCTTTTGGAATCGTCCCGACTTTGATTCTCGCCGGATCATATGCTCTACAGGTAAACGGAATCGGAGTAACTGGTACACCACCGTATTTTACCTCAATGTCGTGATCGCCTATAAGCAACAAAAGAATGGATAACTGTGTGCACATCAAAACTTCACTTTCACTAAGCAATATTTGATTTCCGAAAGTAACAGCAAGAACGAAGAACCCTCACAGTGTGGTGGTGAACATTTTAGCCCCCGAAAAGAGCAATAGTGTGTTCGATCCCCACCGCAGACACCTGCAGTCGGGGTTTTGCAAATATCTCAGCATCAATTTTAACTTATTATTTACTACCTACTCTTTTTAATGACAGAGTATATATTGCGAAACATAACTTCAATGAAGCTGAGATATTTGTAGAACTCCGGACCGCAGGTGTATGCCAAGTGATTGCTGATGGCAAAAAATCGATAGAACTAGCTGAGAGACAGGTGAAACGAAGGACCCGCATGATGTGGTGGTGAATGCGTTACTCCCCGGAAAGGACAATAGCGCTTTCGTTCCCCACCGCATACACCTGCGGTCCGGAGTTTTGCAAATATCCCAGCATCGCAGAAGTTATATCTCAGCGTCATTGTAGTTGTATAATAGAGAGATATTGATGACAAGTAGGGATTCGATAGTGAGGGTAATTTAAAAAAAACCCTTCAAATTTCGGTGTACTGAAGTAGAACGAGAAAAAACGCCACTCACCGACCACCTGTGGTGTGAAGTTCACTTGCATGACACCCGGTTCAATTTCGATCAATTCCGTGCCGATTTGATTCTTTTTGTTATCTTAAAATTACAAAGAGTATATCTTAGGGATAAGTGATGAGATACACAACGATAGACGATGGTGAAATAGCAACACAGTTAGAACCGTCTCACTGCTCAATGTTAATGGTCAGACCACTAGAAAATCTGCCTCATCACCCGAAAGGAGATGGCGATCTAATTACAGCAGTGACCAATCACGAGCAAGTATTGCGGATAACCGTATGGCTACCACCGCGGTTCATTTTATACAATGGACAAGAGATTTTTTGTATATACACATACACACGTATACATGTCGACACTCTCTCACGGGATAGTACAGTATGAAAACATATGCCATGTCGGACAAACTTACTTGAAACATATTACACAGAATACTAAGACTGAAACAGAAAGCCATTAAAAAGAAAAAGCAGAGATTAAGCACAAGAAAAAATTGAAAAAAAGACCATTCTATTTGACATGTAACTACAATTTACTCGTTTTCGTACCAGTGATGACAATCTCCAGCTGATCATGACCGGCCACCTCAACGATAATATTGGACGGCTGACCAACTCGTGACAATGACGGGATTTTTGTTACTGACGTCTTTGACACAACTCTATGTCTGCTCTAAAAATAGTTAACAGGTTTGAAATGACAAAACAACAAACGAAATGAATTTGCGCAAGATGAACCAAACTTCCACTTTCACTAAAGTGGACAATCAATTTCGTTCAAAACACTATAACATGTCTGATTCTCATTGGAATGAAGGAAGTAAGGAGAGAAACATAAAAGACAGTAGTACTCAGACAACTGACCCTTCTCTCTTTCTTAAAAGTAGCTCCTTTCTCTTCTTTCTCGCGTTTCACACGTTCCTTTTCCTCTTTCTTCTTGTCTTCCTTTTCTTTCTTCATCTCCCTTTTGGATAAAGAAGGAGATCCTGTCCCGTCAACGGTATCGCTGAGCGGCGCTGGTGGATCAGTGATCAGAACTTCGAACGGAGAGTCTGAAAAAAATCAGCCGTTAAAAGAAATCAAAAAGTCAGCAAAAAAATTTGCTAGAACTAACTTTTGAGTACTTCCTTATTAAATGTAATATTGACTGTATGCAATCCTCGTGATGTAGGAGTAAAAGTCACTAGGAACTTGGCCGTGCCGCTTTCCAGCTGTGCTACGTGTGACGGAATAATAATACCGTCAGCATCTTTGATAGCCATCTCCAAATTACCGAAGCCAGCTCGTCCAGCATCCACTAAAATTATGAGTGAAAATATTTCCTGCTTTTCTATGTATACGGACAAAAATGGACTGCTAAACTAACCAGTAAATTCAACTGTATCGTTAAGATTTGACTGAGCTGGAATTTCACCCACAATGATTTCAGCCGAATCGTATACACGAATCGGGAAAGGTGACAATGGGTGCTGGATTTCGTTTACATAGGCGAAAACCTAAAATCAAAAAAATATCTGTCAAGAGAACTTCATTTTCTTTCTTCTGTTCGCTCTCCGTTTGCACATTGTGAAATTCTGGATGGAGACTCGACTATTTCACGTGGAGCACATAATTTCCTTCTTCATTAAGTACCGTAATCATCCAACTGGTTTATTTTTCATGTGAAAAAAGATTTATTGGTGCGCAACTAACGCGACAGTTTGTAGGAATGGATTTTTTTTAGAAGCTAAGAGAAAATCAGTGCAGAAATCTCCACGAATCTCTCACTAGTCTACTACGATGCACTGAATTGAACAGGGTAGCGTTAGCGCACAACATTTCTTCCGATGAGGGAAAATGACAAGAGGGCAATTATGCTGTAAGAAAGATTGTTCCTCTTTCGTGACATAGATACGAAGGAATTCAAATCAATGTGAAAAAAAGTCCTGGAAAAATTTGTCCCAACGAGGTTAATAAAGCGAAAAAGTAAAGAGAACGTTACCCAGGAAAGAGGAAGCAGTAAGCGACTATTGTGCGTTGAAGTAACTGGCCAACAAGTGGGAGTAAACTGCTTTCTTCCCCAAAATTCCTCACTAGAAAGCTAAACGAGGAGAAGAAAACGGAGGAGTTTCAGACAGACCTTGTGAGTTCCAACTTCTACGGGTTTGAAAGTGATCTCGTATTTACTACCACTTCTCTTCACTTTAGTTTCCAGTTCCGGTTGACTATCTACGGGTGCGCCCAGCTGATTCCGCCTCGGTGCTGAAGCATAAACTTTTTAAAAACATTGTAAGCACGTAAAAATCCATCACTATTTGACTTAAGTGTAATACTTACGTAATACAACGACACGTAACGTGTCCTCTTTGGTGAGCTTTAGACTCTCCAGTTTAACCTAGAAAATGACAATATAGAAAGAAAATCCCACTTCATGACTCTATGTACTCAAAAATTAGACCAATTTAACTCGTATGTAATGCTGAGATATTTGAAAAACTCCGGACCGCAGGTGTACGCGGTGGGGAACGAACACGCTATTGTCCTTACCGGGGAGTAGCGCACTTCACCACCACACCATCCGGGTCCATCGTTTTGCGTGTCTCTCAGCTAGTTCTATTGATCTTTTGCCATCAGCAATCACCCGTCAACGGGATTGATCTGGGGAACCCAAATCGGCATTGAACCCAGTTAAGCTGAGGCTTAGTTATAATCACAATCTTAACCTTTTTATTTACTGCCTTTTTCTTTCTAATGGTAGAGTATGTTGCGAAACATAACTTGGTGGTGAAGTGCGCTGCTCCCCGGTAAGGACAACAGCGCGTGTTCGTTCTCCACTGCATACACCTGTGGTCCGGAGTTTTGCAAATATCTCAGCATAATATACGAGTTATATTTCGCAACATACCCTGCCATTAAAAAGAAAAAGGCAGTAAATAAAAGGGTTAAAATTATATCGATTTACTTATTCCACCACAATAAATGTACTTAAAAAAGTAATTTATCTTATAAACATATAAACAGTGTCCCAAATAACAATTGAAGTCACATACTAGTAAATCAACCAAGTCTAAAATTAGTGAAAAAATTTTGTCCTTGCTCGAACTATTTACAATCTTTCAATGATCTTATATCAATTGACTGCCCTATTACTAACCAGATTACTGACGCGTGCGGGGTAGTGGTCAGAGGCGCCCTGCAACACTCATGGGATCGATCCCCGCTCCCAAGGCTCACCGAATCCTCTATCCTTCCGAAGTCGGTAAATTGCTACCAGACCTGTCTGGGAGGATAGCAGCACTTGCTCAGTACATAGCTAGGCCACTGCGAGTAATTTTAAAGGCCATATATAGACTTAATCACCTTCGTCAATGCTTAATGAAGTCGAAGAGATGGCGCATTCTTCAGGAACTGGTCTACGAAGGGAGCCTTATCCTTTAAACTTTGTTAGTAAGCAGACTACGCAAAAAGAAAAAAACATTCGAGAAGAACGTAGCTGCTAATAACTGATAATAACTGCTATAAATGACTCAGTGGTAGATAGGAATTCTTGTTTGAGATGAACCTATTTTCAAAAAATCATAGACATCTTCGTCCGATTTCTTACTCACTCAATAACAATCACTGTACCTCAACACTTTTTCCGCGTTTCACTACCTCATGTTTAGATGTGAACTTGCTTTTGCCGAATTCGAACGGCTTTGTCTCTTTTCCTTCCTAAAAGCTTTGTACTTAAGTTTACAATTATAGATCAAGTTCTATTGTCAAATAGATTACTTTTTTAAATTTCATGCTTGTCTTTGGAGTAGTATGGGGTGTTGACTTGGCGGATGGTGCTGGTGAATGAGGTAACTCAGCAACCGGTTCCAATGCCTGCACATGAGCTGGATTCTACAATAAATACGATTTACTTCGACATAATTAAAGCAGAAAAACGATTATCACAAGATGGCCTTAAAGATTCACTAAAAGACTAAGAAAAGAGTTTGGAACGCACAACATCAACAGAAGGACTGTCGCCGACAGTGTCTTTGGAACCAACAACTTCTATGACATCATCGCGAATTTCTGCGACAGGCTCTTCGATTTCAATGGACGACCTGAATACCACATAAAACGAAAACTACAAAATAGAATTTTCAGTTTTGGAGTAACTGCCACGACCGACTTTCTATTAACCTCGGCATTGATCAAGTGATTTTCTTCGTATTTTTGTTGAGCTTAATCGTGAACAAAGAATAGTAACACCTTTCAGTTTTGGTTTTTAATTGCGCAGGTATATTTATTGAAAAAGGATATGCTTTGAATAAAGTTTTATCAATAAATCGTTTTAATTTAAATATCCTTGGTGGCTTTTTGAGTTGCCGAATATTGGATGATAACCCACACTTAGTAAGATTTTTGCTCAATAAATATTAATTACGAATCTACTAGTCATATAAGGAAAAAAGATAGCACTTCGTTAAACACAGTATTCATCCCTTCGAGCTTAACCATTTCTTAAAACCTTTTTAGCCTTAAAATAGCGAAATAGAAAGGAAGAACAACACGTTTCCACAGAAAAAGGAGCATTTCAGGAAAGATGATTTAGCTATCAATACATTACAAGTATTGAATGAAAAAGTGCATACATCCCATATTCAAATGAAGACCACCACCACCTTTCTCTAAGAAAGCTTAATTAAAATAGAGAAAAAGCTACGTTCAAGTTTTACGTAGAATTCCTAAAAATTTCCACGAATATCCTCGTTAAAACAAGCAAATTGAAAGGATTCTTACTCCTGAGAGCGTTTTCCATAGCCATGCCGTTGCAATATCTCATCGTCTTCAGCTCGTACCCGAAGATATTCCATAGTACGGTGGGCTTCCTCGGCTAACGGAAGTGGTGTCAAATCATTTGTCCTCAAGAATTACAAAAGGTATAATATATATATATATATATATATGGACGTAAAAATTCCATGTGAACACGTTTGCTGTCATTGCTATTGTGGTCGTTAAGTGAAGCTCAATGAATCGCCACTTATGAATAGATTCCCTAGTTCGATAGCCACCTCAGGCTAATCAGTTAGCCGCAAATTAAATAGACTTAGGAACGCTAAGAAGCCTGAATCTCGAAATTCCCTCTACCGGTTCAGATAGAGATAATCAGCAAAATCACAAACGATAGAATTCAAAAACACATTCTACTAAGTTCACTTCACATTTTTTAGTTAATCAGGTTTAATGCTAAAATAAACACTTCTGCTGAGAGTTTTTAGTCAAATGGTCAGAGTTAAGGGCGAAATCAAAGATAGGATCGATAAAAGAACTCATTTTATTTAACCTCGAACGTAGTCGCCATTCAAGCAAATGTTTTTCACTAGCTTCTTTCTCACCTCTGCTAAAAAACGAAGGGCAACATAGACGAAATTAAAATGAAATAGATAAACTCCGTTACCTCTTCAGCTTCTCCGGTGCCATTTCGGAAACCTCGTACTTCTTCTCACTTCGAGATAACCTCGACTGCTCGGCGTCGTTTCGTCTGATAAACTACAGGAAAAAGAAGTTTGTTGATTAAATCTGTGAAAACTGATTCAGCTAACAATCAATAAGAGATGGTAAGGTTATAACGAAAAGCAAAAACCTTGTGGGATTATAGGTGGCCAGCTTCCTAAATTTTCCAGCCCATCCCCCAAACATGAGATTTCAATGGGTTGCTTCTTACTATAACTAATAAACTTCTGGTTTTTTTTTTTGCTTCAGTTTCCAGTTTCTTTTTTCAGTAACATCTGATTTACGTGTCTGCGATTTGACGTGAAAAACAAGGTAGAATTTAAAAATTGTTCAGCATTTCTTTCTATATCATATTTACTTTGTAACCCTCCAGAAATATCCCTAACAGTCTTAGGAAAGATTCGTTTTAATTACAATTCCTGCGAAAGAAAATCGTTCTCAGTTAACTGTCTCGAAACACCTAGTATTAAGATTGTTAAACATCTGACTTTTCAGATACAACAATCGATGGCAGAATCAGCTTAAGCTTATACGCTGGGAAGCTGATTTGAATACCTCAGATTGAGTTCGAAGATAGCTCAGGTCATCCCTACTTCTCGACTTTAACTTCTCATCTGTTTCACTTCCAGTTCGATGAATCGCAACCTCCGGTTTCCTGAATATAAAGACCTTTTTTGCTCCCCAAAGAAAACAGTGAAAAAGAACTGGTATTTTAAAACTGGTTACAATAAAGAAATCATTCGTCACATGAACTAACGTCTCGCATTCTTTGCCGGGTCTACTTGGTGATGTCGAGTAAGTTGTCCGTGTGGTCGTCGTTGTTTGTGAGTACGTCGGCTCGTCGTATGTCTGGAAAAAACTGAATTTGGCATTTGGTTTTTCAGAAGCTCTTTTCTTTCCATTCAAGAGGTACTCTTACTAAACATTGCTCTTATGACCATATGCCTTAGAACAACAACCGATGGCAAGAATGTTTAAGTAAGAATAAATAACTCTGAGCAAAAGGAATATAACAGGATTGGACAAATAGAAGAAAAAGGCTATCATCAAGTGAAAAATTGTTTGTGTAAAACACAAAAACAATTGTAAAATATAGATATCCAACTTTTAGCATTTCTTATAAAGGAAAAAGATAGAGCTCTCGGCGTTGGTGAATCCCTTATGGATGCGCCATGCATTCGACATCATTGAGCATCGATGGAGGTGATTGAATGCATATCTGGCCTATACAATAACTCGCGGTAGCCTAACGATGTAGCGAGCCAGTGTTGCTGCTATCTTCCCAGACAAGTCTGGTACCAATTTGCCGACCTCGGAGGGATGGAAAGCAGGGTGGGCCAGGGGCGCGGGGATCGATTCCACGTGTGTGGTGCAGGGCACCTCCGACAACTGCGCCACACGCGTCCAGTAGTATATTGGAACTCCTTGTAAATAGGATAATGAAAGGTGAGTTTACCATTACATAACTGGTAATATACGATGTGAAGCATTGTTAACACTACTGAATGAGATCACCTGCCTGATATTTTGTCAGAAACAAAATCCTCTTCCTCGAGGAGACAGAAAAAATAAATCAAAAATGGAGTATTTATGCCTGAGCTTTCACGGCATGAGACAAAATTTCCATACAAACGTTCCTACTCATGGCAATGACTCAGAAAAATTGGACGTTTAAAACCATATATCTACTAAGTAAGGGAACCATTCTATTGCATGTAGTAGAAGTGTGGTGAAATGGAATTGTAGGTGTCTATTGGAACCAAGAAAAGAGCTTCTTATGGAGAGATGTCAAGCAACTAATCGCAAACTGGATGGTTGTAATGGTGTAAAAATGACTACAAGTACTTGACGTTGTCACCACCACGCTGATAACCAGTCAATGACGAGACCACGACAAAACTAAGCTATTCGAGACACTAAAAGGAATGTTACACTGTATACGGGCGTGTTACAGGCGACTTGTATTCAGTGTCGATGTAGTTCTGTCATAGTTTACTTACTCTATCAGCCTTTACGGGTAATCGATAATTCATCGACTGCAACCAATAAACTGAACTTTGCAGTCGATAATCATTATTCTAGATTCTATTATTCCTGCAAAAACATTGAAAACATGGTAAGATGGTGAAATAAAATTAGTTACACTGAAATGAAATGTTGAAAGGCTAAGGACATTCATTTCTTTACAATAGACCAACGAGACGATGTCTAAGAAACCAAATTTGTTCTTTCAGAAAGAATTTTACCTGGATAAGGCGAAAGTTGAAAAAATAACTAGTCAGAAATATCTACAAAGAAAGCATATAAAGTTGAGAAATGATTTCCCTCAATTTGAACCTTGACTGAATGACTAGTAACCTTTTGAATGTTTCGAAAAAAGAATGGTTTTCCTTTTTATCGAATTGCAATTCTTGATATGTAGAAAGCGTGGAGTTAGGCCAGCGCCAACAATTTTCTGGATACGGGCTCTATGATTGCAACGTATAATTTCTCAAGCACTCCTACCTTCACGGATGTCGCTAAACTTTGCGTAGCAGATGGTCCAGCGTCGTAATCCGGTGGAGGACTTCGAGATCTAGAATTCATCTGCTTTACATTCAACCCACACCACAACTTCACCGCCTTTTCACACTGGAATAATTTTTTTGAACACCGAGAATTATTTTCTTCGATTATTTCACATGGCCCGCCATCCCATTTACTCTGCGGAACCCGGCATTTCATGCATTTAAATCGTTTCCTCATATCTAATCACCATTGCAGATCTTTTAGCATCTTTATAAGAAATGGACCGCCGCTTGTTGATTTCCGTTTCCTTTACGAACGTGTTGAATTCTGATCGAACTCGATTGGCCCTGGAGGCCGATCCATGCTAGAGCGTTTCCACGTGGATTCGAAAGAATGAGCTGAACCCAGATGACTCTGGTATGAATTTCCCGATCTCGAAGAGCATACAGACTTGGTGAGTCCAGGGTGATGCAGAACCAGCATCTGATTAGCGTTCGTCGACGAGCATAATCCAGCTATTTTACTTGATTTAATTCGTCGTGTACCTTCTAACACCTACTTCCTCTACTTTTTTAATAATAAAGTTTAAATTTCCTAAATTAAATGAAAAAGGTCCGTTTTCTTAGATAGAACATGATTTTTCAGTGAAAAAAAACAGACTCATACGTCATATCAACAAAACATAGTTTTAAACGATATTTCAGCATTCGTCAGTTTCTAGGCAGCGCTGGGCCACTTCTCCTAAAAAGGAGAGGGTTGCAATTCCAACAGTTCTCCGCGTCACGAAATTAGGTTGACGCCCCGAACAGATCCGAACTAAAATCGATAAGGACTTATGCACCAACCTAATATTTCCACTCGGAACCATTGACTTATTCGCTGAATGATTCGACTGAGCGTGTGCTGGAGTCGGAGGTGGCTCGTCACGCTTCCGATCAAATCGTTCATAGACGGCAGAATATTCTGGTGATTCGGCTCTCTGTACAATCAACTCATCTCAATAGTAGATATGCTAAAAATGTTCTTCCCTCCAATTATAAATCATACTTGTTTGGAGTAAAGCGATGAAGGACTGACGGCGTCATTTAATTCCTTCTTGTCGTATGTCTCAGGGGAGGATTGTGGAACAGAATATCTTAACAGCAATATATCTAATAAGTGACAGAAAAATTACCAATATTAGAATATTATTCACCTGCCAGGTGAGTGACTCCTTTCGATAGTCACATTACCCGGTTGCCCATATTGCGCTACCGTATATCCGACTGAGGAACTCGCGATTTTCTCTTTCTCCGCTTGTGCCCGCCGTCGCTCGCGTTCTTCTTCTGCTGCAACGGGGTCGATTTGTTCGACCCGGCGTATTCTTTCCCCGGATATTGGAGATGGTGTGATTCTGCAAGAAAATATGTGAAATTCTGTAATGACATCACTTTCACAATCACTTGATGATTTATTGATTTACAGACGATAAAAGTGATATTGTGGTTCAGAACCACTTCACCCCTATGACGTAAGGAAAAGAAATCTTGGAAAAAGGTAACATAAGAAAATATTTTTGGGTTTCTAGCCTAAAAATTCTTTAAAGCAACTATTTATGAGAAGAATGTTTCAAGGAAACTTTACCCGTATGGCGACACAACACGATCGCTGGCACGAGACCGAATATCGTCTCGGCTGATGGGCGATGGTGACCTAGAAAATGAAACAGCGGAGGCATTCTTCGAAAACGTTGAAAACTTCAGCTATCTGCTATCTAACCTATAAGCTCTTTGTTGCGGTTGAATAACACCAACAAATGAACTGGTATTATTCCTTTCGTATCGCTTGGGCGATGGAGTCCTTAGATGGTGTTCAACAAATCCTCTCGATCTATTGTTGCAAAGTTAGCCTTGCAATATTTCAACTTCATCACAATAAAACGAAATTGGTTCATTCTCTTACCGAGTTCCAGGTGGAGTTAATGCACGCCCATAGTAACTCTTTGTCTCATAAACCCTTAAAGTGAACTATTACATTGCAGCTGTTAAATGGAACTCTGCAAACTAACAAATCAAAACAGTGCACCTACGTCTTTTGTTCAGATGGTGATGAAGTGCGAAGAATTACTGGTGTTTCTGTGAAAGGTCTTGCTCTGAACAGTTCCTCTCATAGTTAAAATGAAATTCGAGTAATTATGTGGGTTTCTATACCTCAAATTATCACTTGGTGAAAGTGTTCTATCGGTAGTGTAGATTCTATCGTATGCGCTACTCGCAGACCACTCACGGTTTGGTGACAATGAGGAACTGAGACGAGAGGAGGTAGGAGCGTAAGTCTTAAAATCTCAGTCACTCGACCAACTAGAAGCTCTCTAATCCTAGATACTGAGATAAATAAGAATGAAGAACACCTACAACAGCGAAATTATTTTTATCGAGTTTTGAATTAACGGTCACCGCAAAAATCTCAAATAGTTCAACATTTTAACGGCCCATTAACCAACCTGCATCCATGGTTTTTCGGCTCTACTGCGTGCCTCACGCAGTAGGGTTGGACTTCGTGGATTTGTTTCAGCTGACCGTTGACGGCTATGATGATGAAGGAGTCCAGGCGAAACAGGAGTTCGAGATTGTCGAAACGCTCCAGCGATACTCGACCCTCCTAAGAAACTTGTCTTCACGGGATAACTGCCGTAACAAGTTTCATTATTTGGTTTTCTATAAATTATATAGCAACTTAACCACGTATTTATATTGCAGCCATTACACTTTAACTATTGCTTCCTAAATTTTGGAATATTACAGTGAAATGTACCAGATTCTTAGATGTCACCTTGTCAAACTTAACAAGTATTGTTATTCTAAGATGGGTGGAATTTCAAGACCTCCAGTTTTGATTTCGATGACCTTGAATATGCCGATGACTAGACTTTTCTCATCGCATTAAACATCGTTTAAAAGTTTCTTTAACTTTTCTATCGGACGTCTGTATAATGTATCACCAGAAAAGAAGAAAAATTAATGTTCTTAAACGGCATAACTCTTATGATATACAGAAATCGATAATGCCCATCAATAATCAGCTCAATAAAATTAACCTCCAAGAAATGTCTTACATCTTCCTTCAGAAAACGGAATAATTATTTGGAACCAATCATGTAGTAGACCGTTGTTTCATTTAAGACATTCAAAAATTCCTGCTTTATATGAAACAAGCATTTCAGCACAAATCTTATAATACAACTAGAATATCATTTCACTGAACTGCTTCAAAACCACGACGAAACTCGCATACACAGATGGACCAGTAAACGGCCTTCACTTGATAACTGGTTATGGAGTGCGACATGCGTATTATCCTAATCTACTTTCATGTGCACAGTCGGTCGCATACTCGTAAAAGCCTAATGAACAGAGCTTATACGTGTTGGTGAGAGATCTCACGTTTTGCAAGTGGTACTGAACTAATGAACACCAGTATTACATTATGAAACCATTGCTAATAAAACACAGTAACAAAGATATTTACATAAAACCTGCTCCATGATGGCGTTTTTCTAGATCTCATCACCTTTACTGTCGAAATAGGTTCACGTCACTTTTGCGGTAACCGGCCATAATCATTCTTCTTCAGAATGACAGTGTTCAACGAAACAACTGATAAGCAATCCATCAAATTAAGAACTGTGTTTTATGCTACCAATGTTAAATTTTACAGAACAAGTAGAAGTTAATACTATGAGAAAAAAGTACAAACCCGCTGAAATCGCTGTCGACACAGCGGTCGGAGTGAGATTCGCGTGCACAACTTCGCCAACCTGCTTCGGCAGAATCTCTACCTTGATCGGACAACCTCAAATCGAAAGAAATATGATATACTAAATAAATACACATTCAATAAAAGTACAAGTATTAAACGCCCTTTGAAAAATGATCCTCAGCATGTTTACTGAGTCCATGTGAAGTATTGATTTCAGAAACCACACTCAAATAATCCAGAAAAACCAAAAGAAAATCCACGTTATCACTACGAACTTCTGTACAGCAATAATCAACTTATTTCTGAAGCAAGAAAATATCTCCACAATTACAAGTTTGGAGATGAGAGATACCAACCGTGTACTTGTTCGCCATTGAACGTCACGTCTATAACATATGTGCCAGGATGTTGTGGTATAAACGTAACGAGACATCTGAACAACCACACACGCATTCCATAAAATTCTCTCAGGTAAAAAAAATCAACCGTAGGAATGAATATAGGGAAAAAACGATGAAAAAAATCACTAGCATATATATACATATATATATTCTATACCTTCCGGCGCCTTGCATTTGGACATTGTTCGGTACACGGCCTTGATTCACCGAAATTTCTAGTTGTCCCTTCCCAGCATCGACAGCATCCACTGCAGGAATAACGTATAATTGCGAGCAGTAGTTGAATTTTCTTGGACGCTTGACCACCATGCAATTTTCATCAGGTGGTATACTCATTATTGTTAAGCGCCCAATACTAGACAAGAGCTCTCAAACGTGACCCAAGAAAACCTGCACTACGAACGCGCTAGCAGAAACACGACAGCACCGAGTTGTAGTTAGTGACGACTGAATAGTTACCGCGAACGAACCACAGAAAACGTTTCACGACTGATGTTTACTGATTTTCCGCCGGTTATTTGTCTGTCAGTTAATATTTGCGTGTGTGTGTGTGTGTGTGTGGGTGGGTCTAACCGTGTATCAGCAAATTGAGTACGAATATGGTGTGAGGAAAGTGAGGGGAAATGAATGGCGCCACAGCGTGGCTTGGTGAACGATGGGACGACTCACCGACAAACTGTACTGGATGCCCGACTGCACCGCCCCCAAGTGGCTCGAGTCTAACTCGATCCGCCGAATAGCCGGCAACCGACAACGGACTGCCATCCACCTTTCGTCCAGCGATCCACACCGTCAGATGATGTTCACCAACCTGAAATCGTAAGCGGTATCGACTACTGTATTCTCACCAATCAACACAACGATTCTTGAAATTCTTTGCGTTGTTCAACTGTTCCCAATACATGCTGTAAACATAGACATGACATCAACTATATCGATGGCTACCAATGTATTCGATTTCTTTCGTTCGATTTAACGACACGATCACCTCAGAAAACCAATCATATATTTCGCCTTTATTGAGTATGATTAATGGAAAACACTTTCACAAGAATAACACAACAATCTGATGGAAAAAGGTCAAGTTTTTCTTTCCCACCAGTTACCAGTTATCAGCGTTTGCTCTTTCCTTTTTCCTTTTTTATTCTTCACTTGCTCAGGATTGCATTCAAATTATCGAAACTGCTTTCCGAACTAAACAAATTCGCAAGTTATCACGAAAAATGGGGAAAAACTAATAGTATGTAACGTGTGATAGACAATGTTAGGAATTTGTTCATGCATGCGTAAACTATGCAGCCAAGCGCGCGCTCCAAAACCTATGCTTTACGAGATGGCGCCTTTATCACATATCGAGATGATGCTATATATGGGCGTCGAGCGACGATCGACTCGACGTTCACATTCTTCTTTACAAACGTTCACATGTACCTTATCATCACACAATTCATTCGATACTGTATGATCTTCAGTCATGTAACGTAGTTTCATCGTGAAAGACAATTCCAACACACAGATTTATTTATTCCTTTGTATTCGCGTAAATCTTTTCCAATTTGTTTACCTGTTCGATGCGATACTCTGCTATATATTGTCCACTACCTCTCGGTACAATTCGCACAGGAAATTCACGGCCGTCAGGTCCTGAATTCAAAACATGCACACAGCTGCTTGTTAGAGAAGATTATGTAGCTTTTTTCCTTTCCGACCTCGTATTTCTCTAGGGATTGAACTCACTCCGTGTGGAAAAGAATACTACAACACAAATATGGATATTGATTTCTTATTTTGAAAGTAACTGTACTCACCGTATATTTTTGCTTTCACATCATTTAACTCCAATCCTTCACCATTAATTTCGAATGAAGCAATTCTGTTCACTGGTGCACGTACTAGACCAGCACCAGACAGCTCAGAATAATACGATAACGTTCTAAACAGTACAGTTCTCAGAAGTACTCACTCACACATTTTCCTCTCTAGTACCGTTTCACATTTTATCACGTTATCAAAAGCCAAATACGCCCTGCGGATTTGAGAATATGTTCATTAAACCTGAACTATGCAGAGTCCAAAGGGTTTCATTTTTTCTTTTTTCAGTATCATGAATTTAATGAAGTAACTCTTTGCGTTTCTTATAGCCGAATCCCTAAACAAAATTCATTCATCCACTACTTACAAATCTTATTAGAATATTAACCAGAAGAAAAGCAGAACCTATTTGACTCATGACGTCTCTCCGATCTATCCTCAACTGGAATGTGCCAGGGGCTACCAGCTACTTCTTCGCCATTAAATCGCATCTCGATAGTGTGTGTGATGTTCTGGAACAAAGTGTCTACAATTTCTAGGAAATTTCACTTCCTTTCCCAATTGTGTATCGGTCCTTCTATGTTCTCATAATAAGGCGAGATTTCACCTCTATCATCGTACTTCCGCACCTTCAAATGAGAGATATATCCTGAGTGGTTTGCCCCGTCATCACTGCCACACCGTGTTTCTAGATGTCGAACTAGGATGAACAACAACCGTTTCTTCCTCTACCAGAATCTCCTAATTTGAGAAGAAGTCCTATATTGTTATCCGTAATCTCAATTAAGAGTAAACCAACAGCTGTAATCACTGCAGCCCTGGAAGACATCAAGATGGAAAGAGACTAAACTTCCGATAGACAGATACAAGCCACTGAATGTGACGATGACGTGACAACGCCCTAACCCGACATTTTCGAAAATCCAGAAAAAAAAACTTGCTGAACCAGCAACATTACCAGCTGTGTAGAATATGTTCTAAAGCTTGCACGACTCTTCATGACTAGGAGTAAATAGCCTTTTTAAGTACTAAATCTAAAACGTGTACATATACGTGTATAAGGAGGCATATAGCGCGGAAAGTTAGAGGTGTGCTGTAATACCTAAGGGGAGGAAATTCTGGTTCGATCCAGCGCTCCCGGTTAACGGAAGCCAACTAATCGAGGTTATCAAAAAGGCATCAGACTAGACTTGAATGAGAAAACCACCGTTGATTTGATACATAATTAGGACTCTGTAGGTCTGTATGGGGCAAATATGCATTCAATCACCACTACGATGATACGAATGCAGTCTGGCTGAGACATGGCGCATCACTCAAGGATTGGTCATAGCGTAAAGTTTTATCGTCAATCGTTCGCAGATGTTTCATTTGTATCATTTAAACTATTCGTATTATGAACTGCTCGTTTACGAATATTACGAGGCGAATAATCGAGCGTTTCGCCTCTTCACTCCTCTTCTATTAATCGACGCATCTCACCTGAGTGGGCGTAAACACGGCTTTGTATTGTCTGCTGACGATCTCTCGAACTCGACATGGCACTCGACCTCCGTTGATCATAATTTCCAGATTTCCCGATCCGGCCGACGATGCGTCGACTAGAATACGCCATATTTCGTCCAACTCCACTGCATTCACATAAATCAGATTTTGCATCCGCTCGAATATTACGATTTGATTCACCTAACACGTACCCCTGATTTTATGCAGATAATCATGAGTTTGACGGTTTTTCGCTTTCAGTGATAAAAATAACTCACACACGAGAAACTGCTGCCGTGGCTGATGTACGACTTTATTATAAATAATATAAGCTAGCTAAGTAATAGCAGACAGCAGCACGCTCTACAAACACCATCCAGTTATCAGTGGTAGACAAACGAAGAACGTTGAAAGACTGTTGAGTCACCGACAGTAAATTTATTCCTCATATAAAATTACAACAATAAAGTCCTCAAAATCTTGGAGAAGACCTTTATCAAATTATGTTTTCCGAGGATATGATTCTCAATAGAATCAAATTTAAACTGTGTTGTCCCTCGTAGGGCTAAAACGGAGGATTATTGTCTACGTCCGCCAACACAATTAACCTATTCTAATTTCGGTAATTAGAGTTACTTTTGTACATTGTTTAAGACAGTTACGGTTAAAACAAAGCAAAGCTAGAGTGATCACTCATTACGTTAGAAATCTATGCGTCTGCTATGCGTCTTTACAATCGTTTAACCGGAAGTCCTATGATAGATTGCATATAGTTATAAGGTAACGGAAACTGTGAAAATAAAGTATTCTAAGGGTAAAATTCTGTTAATTAGAATTCGAAAGTAACTTTACAATGGATTCAACTAACTTTACGATATACAGTATCCATTATAAAGTCAAATAAACACGATCTGTTGGTGAATTCAAAAAATGAACTGTGATCACTAAAATATAAGAGCTTGCTAAGACTTTTAAGAATACAGTGATTAGTTTTACCAAGATTCATACCAGCTACTATTCCTATCAAACAGAATAATACGGTGTACGGTGTGACGAAAGTTTGAAATCACTAAAAGATTTGACGGAAACTATGGGGGGTATGAGAGTTGACATCAAAATTCTCGTTCTCCCCACGCTAAATTCGTACACACCTGGTTTTGTCACTCCAGTCAACACAATAGGTCATTGCATTTCTTAGGAACAAGAAAAGAGCTTCATGTTGTGCAGAGGAAAAATAAGGTGTAGCAAAAAGACAGGCGCTAACTTAGACTCCATTTTCACTTCGAAAATCTGTTCATGCCGAAAAGTGAAAATGTATTTCCAACAACAAAAATACTTTGCTAAGTATAGTGCACGTTTAACACTAAGCAGTGAAGATCCTTTCATAGTTTTCATGCATAAGTGTAGAATTTTTGTGACTGCTATATTAGTGAGTGATTTGGTTTCCTAGATTGTCCTTAAGCATTGCGTCAACTAAACACGGAATTTGCTGCCATTAGAAGAATGTCAGTTGTCCCTGGAAAAATCTTATCACAAGGTAGCAAATTTCGCTCCGATCCATGAAAGATGAAACCTGTCTGCGATGACGGACATGGCAATCGTGGGTTTCCAATGAAAATCACTCACGATTGGTACTAAGCATGCAAACGAGAACAGAAGTCGAAAAATCGTAAGGTTACAGCCAAAGTCACACACTTGGCGACAACCTTTATGCACGGTGGTTGCACGGCAACGAAACCAATGGAAAAACGGTTGGAACCTGCACATGTGAATGCGGATCGTTAAAGTAGCTAAGTAGGCAACTATGCCAATGGCACCATTAATTCGTTAGCTAGAAATGAAGTTTAAAAAAGACTAGGGAGAGTGTAGCACAGTGACTGTGACCATTTTCACTACGCTAACCGCGCAACCTAACCAGACACTGGTTCGACCCCGTTCCGGAACTACTAAGACCATTATCCCCACAGGAGCAGGAAATTGGCATCAAACTTGCCTGGGACAACTAGACTCTACCTAGTCCACGTGTGAACGTTCTAGCACGGATTTCTCAGGATTCCAAGAAGATTCAACTTGACCTGTTTTCAACAGCATTCGTGGACGAAAATGAAAATAGACTCAGTCAGTAGCCGAACCCACACGTAGAAGAAAATCCTAGTGGATGGTAGGTACAAGACAAAACATTAAACGCAATAAGTGCCAGGATCTGCACAATGTGATACATGTGGTTTCGAGTCATGTAAAGAATAATAAGATCAAAAAAGGCTAACTTGTCGTGCTGACGTGGTGAATGTTTCAATGTTCACACAGATGGTGGCTCTATAAAGCTGATACGATGCCTGAACCTCCACGTGGATTATCCTTACCTTCCTGTTATTCTTATTTCTTGGGCATACTCAATACATTCTACAAGTTGCGATTTTCAGAGAAAAATTTGTGATCTTGAAATTCCTAAAACAGAAGAACTGCTTCATCTTAGGAAAATAAAGAAGAAAAACAGTACATTAAGACCAGAATACGAGGAGATATTTGCCAATCAACAGTAGTTCCTGATACTACTAAAAATACGAATTTCAAAAGACATAGAGTTTAAAGCGAATTAATAGATAGAATAATAATTAATAATTATTAGATTCATGAACTTCTTATGCATAATTGTCAACAACATCATACAATTAAATTGGGGAACATGGTCAGGATCAATACTGGCTCTCTCCGTTCGTCAATAGTACCGTTCAGACTACTGTTTACCCTTTTTAATTGAAACTCTATTACTGGACCCTTTACTTCAGCTTACGACGCAATCGATTTACTCCACTTATAAACTTATGAGTGACACGTCACTTCAAGAAAATTGGACAGTGAAACATTGTAAAATTACGCAATTTTCAAAAGCAACTATATACATCTCGAATGCATTCCATTTCCATAAGTCTTAAACACATCATTACAGCGATGAAATGACGACGTTTACAGTCAAAATTCAGGTATAGGACTCTATGAAAACCAGTGAATAGGTAAGACGGTGGAAATAAACTCTTTAATACAAAATCGATACTTTTTCTGGCAAAATTGACCACTTCTTCTCCTTTTAGCGTAAAATAAAGGAGTGAACTGTAAGAGTGAAAACAACGGAAATCTTCTAGAAACACTTAATAGAAAATGCTCATAAAAAGTGGAATGACCGATAGCAAAAACCCTGCTAAACTTAACAAAAACAGATTCATTCGAAGAACATGAACAAGAAGGTTTTTGCTAGAGAACTGGAAGTTGATTACCTGACGAAAACAAAATTAAACACAAAAAAATAAAGCATACTAAAAGCGAAGAAACTTCTTATTCATAAGAGGAACAATGACTACGCAACTACGGACGTAAATAGTAATTCACCGTAGTTAGTTATGAGAGAAAAAAGAAAGTTGAAACAAAATGCGAATTGTTAGACACAGACAAGTAAAAGAACAGATTTGGTAAATTTCCAAAGAAGGCGATACCCCTTAAACACTGGTACTGTAGATCTTACAACTAGTAGCTTTACTATAAAATATTGACAAGACGAGGACGAAACGTTCATGTGCGCCACGTCGAGAGATCAACATCTTTGACGCACCGGTTGGGGTTGAGTTATTTGCACTCACGCGACATTTGTTGACTCAAATGCAGGAATTATGAAAACGTTTTCATAGCACTTCCAGAATCCATTTAGATTTTCGATAAGCGCTTAGTGAACTTAGTGAAAACGACTCTTTTGGTGAGCGAATGAGTAAAAGAGTTATTATGGCAAATATGTAACAAAATCGATTAACTCACCAGTTGTATATCTAAAATCACACATAATTTTGTAATATGCAACTCAAGAGGTTTCAGATGATGAATAACATGTGTTGAATAGAAATGAACACATGAAGAGTCATCGATACAGCTGTAAATCTTGTCTCCTTGTTTCTTGTTCACGTTGCTCAACCACAACGGTGACAGCAGTGACACGCCTACCTTTTTCAATGCAGTAGCCACCGTCAATTGTAATACCGATGGTTGACTGCACAACACAGGAATACTTGGAATGTTTAATCGACGAATAACGAAATGAAAAAGACCTGCACACAATCACACTTTTGCACTTTGAGACTTGTTTTAAGGTTCACTGAGGAAATTAGATGCAACAACGATCAAAATCAGAAGAAAAAGATGAAGAAGAAGCATGAACGACATCTAGATTGAACAGAATGGTAGACGGTTGCATAACTATTATAAACACTACTCGAGTGAACGCTGACAGGAAGAATTAATGATGATCCATCTGTCTACGTGTATAAGGCAGCAGTGATTCAAAACATTTCGTCTGCGCACAACAATGAGTACAATTCGTCTTCCAGCAATTCGTTTGATGACAACATTAGTGTGGTGTTATATTGTGTTCGAACATTTAACTCTTCGAAATCTTGCAAAGACCATAGAAATCTATCTAGAAACGGTAATAAACCTACTTTCAAAGCTATGTTCAGTGTGTAGATCTTTGCTGAGAATACGCCTTGGTACAGCCCGTACGACAACTTTCTCCGGTGCACCAACGTTACATAGGAACGGTGAATCCTGTACGCGTTGATCGAATATGTGAACGTCTATGGAATGTTCACCTAAAATAAAACATAAAGAGATATTTACAAAATCATCTATGAGATCAATGTCTCAACTGCGCAACGGAAAAATTTTGGTCACCTGTAAGCTAACTTCTCTACAGTAATATTTCACAATGGCAAAAATATTAGAATATGGAATAGGTGGCAAAAAAAAGACGAAAAAGGTGAGAAAAAAGCAAATGAGGTTTTCAGTGCTTTTGTAAAGCAACGCCAACAAGCCAGTCGAAAGCGACCAAACAAACAGAGTTCAGTTGACAAACATAATTGAGAGCCAAACCCGTAGAATCACAAAAAAGCCATGCATGTAAAAAAGGGGTTATAAACAAAGGAAAACGTGGTGAGAGCCCGTCCACAGAAAACCTACCCAAATGTGATTTCTGCTTTAAAAATTGACTTTGCTAAAACGTATAAGAAAGTTTACTGTCTATAAAGTCAACTTTCTAAAGCTACACACTGAACACAGCTTCTGAGCTTATAGACTTCAAATGTAAGAAATTTTTATTTGGCTTAGAAACATTTACTATTTCTGTAGTACGTAGAGAGCAATATTTCTTAAATACTGGAACTGATAAATAGATAAAGAAACAACTCTTACAGTGAACGTTGCACCAGAAAAAAAGCCGTCGATACATCTACTTAGAGGAAAATTTTTACACCGACTTTTCAGCAAATTAAATTTCGGTAGTCAGTTTTTAAATTCGAAACGGATACAATGACAAAGATATTTAAGACTTACAGGCTTGTAGTTTTATACCCAGTTGGTACAGTACATTAGACACAATTCCATTAGGTAAGTTTGCCTTACTTGCCAACGGTTTACCGCCTCATCTTGGCTGGGAGGTGCTCCTGGATGTCGGATTGCTATGTACAGCTGGGGATTCATCCTCTGGCAGGATTTCCCAAACTGAGAACGAGTCCAACGTTTACACCAGGAAACCCCGCTAAGAGTGAACCAATATCAGGATTCGCCACTGTCTTGGTATCAAAGTCGCATGGTGGTAAATCTCTCTCTGATCCACAAGGACTGCGACTGCTTGTCGTGGTGAGGACCGGGGCCGATTATGACCAGGCTGACCTCGGGATTCCGGAAAACCAGAATGGCTTAGCCAGCAAATCCCCGAATGATGGAGGTTATGCTTGGGTCCGCACAACCAGCGAGGACGGGTCGTTCGAGTATCAAGTAAGAAACTTCGTCTTAAAATGGTAGTGTCTGGAACAGAATATAATAAGCTGCAAAATCTAAGTTCATAAAAAACTACTGGTACAACTTCCACCTGTATAACGTATCCCATAGCTGGTTGCTTGCTGATTTGGGCACACACCCATAAAATATTCGTTTGTTCTGGTTGAGAGGCAAAGTTATGAGAAAGGTTTCGTTTGTTGGTGAGATACGAACAGTGCGTTCACGAAGAAGTTTGACCATAGGTTCGTCGTCGTCGTCAAGTGCGTCTGATATTATTTAGATTTCGATAGCAGCTTGATCTTGACCAGTAGTTTACTCTGCCACACTACCTTTCTAGTTCACCTGATATTCGATGTCTCACTATAAGCACCACTACCACTACTGGATCGTCTACAAAGAGCAGAACATCGGACTCTCTCTCTCTCTCTCTCTCTCTCTCTCTCTCTCATATTTGCATAAAACGAACTACTCCTAGCATCATTTTCTCTTTCTGTAGCGCATAAAAAACCACTAACCGTAGTTTCATTCTGTATAGTGGTCAGGATTTTGCCAGGAGTGTTAAAACAGGTTAAGTACAGTAGAGCCAAAAAGATGAGCGCAAAACAAGATTCGCCATCTTTACAATGTCGTCTACAACCAACCTTAACCCCAATTTCAACTACCCAACTGAGATTCTTAACCAGAAATACATTGCTGGAAAACTCATGAGCACCCCTTCTTTGACTTAGTGTGGCACCAACAACAATCTCATTATTCCATATGAACATCGCTTCCTTCAAGCATAGTAGAATAGCAATCTGTTGCTAATCCCTGTTGAAATAAACCGGTATTTGTTCCAAATGGTTGATACTTGGTTTTCGGACAACGATATTATTAACAAAGAGGTAGAAATAATCCAACATGACTATGGAGACGGTTTTATATCCGTTTAAACACTCAGGCTTCTTTGAATAGCATGTTACTGTAAAATATTCCCGTCTTCCATGTGATAAAATGTCTCAACCCATACCACTCGATGTACAGCTGGTCAGAGCCTTGTACTTATGACACAAAGGAGGAGAAATATGCCAAGCTTCTTGCCACCGCTACGCAGAAGTTTTACTTTTAGCGTTAAGTGGGTATTGAGCGTGAGACGCTGTAGCAGCTAGCTATGGACTTTCACTTGCACATCTTTTCAGTCTACCTCTAGCAACATTTCATTGAGCAGAACAAGTGGAGAAGAAAGTAAAAGCCTATAATTATGATTAACGCTGGAGATTAAATGATGGCCGGTTTTTCAAAAGTAATAATCGTTACATGCTAGGTGAAATAATACCGACTACTGCAGGAAAGACCGCCTGCATGAATACGTATTATTATCAGTGGAAAATTAACAACAATCGTCCTATATAAAAGTGGAAACTGCCGAGTGAGATTCTCAACCGAGTCCTGCTCCACTCCAGAAGATTCGATTCGGTACGACTACGAAGAAACCATCACCAGGACGAACGGCTGTGAACAATCGATTCGGATCTATTGTCTCTGAACAGGATGACGACGTCAAAACGCCTAACCGAATAGAGTTCAATAGAATAATTTGCATAGTAAAACCACTCCCTTATTGTTACTTACAAATCATGCTACTGTAGAATGATAACGATAAAGTCGATATTACCTTCACGTTAATCAATCGCTTGACTAACGTGGGTGAAGCTTGAGTCTAGTTTTCCATGATAAACGGCAATAATAATAATAATAGTAATAATAATAATAATAATAATAATAATAATAATAATAATACACTCAGCGTTGATCAATCGGAAATAGACGACGAAAATAGACGTCGTGCATAATGCATAATAGTAATAATAATAATAATAATAATAATAATAATAATAATAATAATAATAATAATAATAATAATAATGCACTCAGCGTTGATCAATCCCTGAGTGATGCGCTATGCATTCGACTTCATCAAGCATTGTTTGGAGGTGATTGAATGCATAACTGGCCTTTATCATGGCTCGCTGTAGCCTAACAATGTATCAACCCCATGCTGCTATACTCCTAGACAAGTCTGGTACGAGTTCGCTGACTCCGGAGGAATGGAAGGCTTGGTGGGTCATGGGCGCGAGGATCGATTCCATGTGTGTGTTGCAGGGCGCCTCCGACCACTGCACCATAGGCAATCATAAAGGGCAATATCCATCTTAAATACAGTGAATAGCAGCTTTAGGTGAATAATAAGTACGCATGGTGACCCGTCTTTTACAAATTTGAGGTTGTAGCTCGACAAATAACTGATAACCCTGCAATGCGTGTGTGGTACCCAGCGATCTCTGAAGGCATACATGGATTTCGGAACGGCAAATATACTAGTGACGACGCCGATTTCACAGTTATTTCGCCCAATTTAGTGAATCAACAGCATTTGCAACATAATGTGAATCAATAACTGTTGACGTGCAAATAAAAAAGAGAAGCTTTAAACACAAATATAATCGCGTTTACATAAGGGAGATTCTCACAGAAAAAAAGAACTGATTTGAACTAAAATGACCTTCAATTTTAACAAACTTTGACAAAAACGTTTAACTTTTAGGCAGTCTAGTGACAAAAAAGCGCCTGCAAGTAACAAAAAGAAGCAGGAATGTGTTACCCTTCCTCACGTCTTTCAGTTTCGTGCAAAGAAATCGAAAACGCATCGAACATATAAAGTAAAGTAATTGGAACTGAAAAATAGGAGGAAGTAAAAGAACAAGAACAAGAAGAGCAAGAAGTAGAAGCAGAACAAGGTCGACAGTAAAGGGAAAGAGAAAATATAGCCAAAATCCTTAATGCTTTACCTGGTTCTTGAGGTAACCATTCAACTTTACACGAGACATCATCGACTGTGGTTATGACACCGTGGCGTAGCTTTCCCGATGGCGCTAAAGAAAAAACACAATCCCGAAAAGGCAAACAACCAATAACGAGTTGAGACAGCTATTAGTATGCCTAAGTGTACAATTGAAACGGAAAGTGTAGATTGAGAAAGAAACCAAGTAAAAACAAAAAATAAAGAGAACATTGAATACTCACAATTCTATACATTGCGAGACGTTCACAACATATACACGTAAACACTTGACGATGATAAAGAAATTAGAAATCATTTCGATTTTTCAGTTTGAATGCTGCTGAGTCTTCCTTGAGTTCAGATGGCATGGACTCCACCTAGTCATCCGTCTTCCTTTAGTTACGGTGAAAAACAAAAACGCCTAACTAAAAAAACGAACAGAAAATAGAACGAAACGAACTGAACATGTAGCGGTGATGAAGGGCACAAAACTCAGGCCACCCTCTCACACATACGCACAAACACACAGAGATATATATATATATATATATATATGTAAAAAACACAACTAAGGGAAAAGTAGACAACGAGACAGTTGGACAAAACGTCGAAATTTCACTGCGCCTGATTTCTGTATAGACAGTAATGTAGCGACTATGAAAGTGAAATGCTCGCCTTACTGCAAACAGCGAATCAGTACTACCGCTCATTCTGGCGTCTCCTCATTTTTCTGCAAGTTCTTGAAAAATTTAAGTAGCGTTGGTCAACTAACAAAACTATTTCTGAATGGGTTTCAGACGATCTTTGTTAGGTAAACATGTCCATTAATGTTGCCTTATTGATCGCTGCGATTTATCCGTCGCAACGAAAGTGCACATTACAACGATAACCCATTCCGGACCACATTAGAAATTTTTGGTGTGCTAGTACGTTGTCTATACCGTGCTTTTCATTATAAACACTAAAAGCTATATAATTACCAGTTACGTGGAAAGACAGATGTTAGATAGTTAGCGGTTCTCATCGCTTACTAGAAACCAGAAGCAGTAAATTTTCTCATAGACCTGTATAATCACAAAAATACTCTTGCCTCTAATCTCTACAGTAATGTCGTTTGGTCCAGCCGATGCTGCGTGGATCATGAACGATGCTGGACGACCTACTGATGCTCCATGAAGCTGATCACCGAACACAGAAACAGTAGAAGCGTCAGCAATCTCCAGTATGAATGGAGAGCCTAAAAGGATTAGGAGTGTAATCTGTTAATTGAAAAACGGACTCAACACGAACCTTTTACTTCCATTCTGTTAAAAATCACGTGAATTTTATACTGACCAGCACCGTCAGGTATAAAATTAACTCGGTATACTTGTGGTACCTCTTCCTCCTCAAGGATGACCGGAATATGACGTCCGTGACGTAGCACGCTAACCTGAAAAGAAATCTTCAAAGTTCACGAAGAACAGATCGAATCCATTCGAATACAAATTGCTACGACTTTGACACCCACTGAATTTATAAAAGGATATTGAGGTTTAAATAGGAAATTAGAACAATTGAGTATTACAAAGATCTGTTAAATAATGGCTGACGTTTCGGAGGTTTCGCTTTCTTCAAGGCCTGGGAAGTGTAAACTTGGCACTCAATCTACTAAATCAAACACGTTCATAAGTCAAGCAAAAGAAACTCGACACATTAATTTTATTCGCATAGCAAAGATATTCCATTGAACACTCACCGTTTCGGTCCTTCTAACTGCTCCAGTTATTTGAAGAAGAAACAGCTACAAAGAGTCTTACATGGATCAGGAATGTGCTTGACCCAAGTCAGAAAAAATCATCCCGAGCTGTGACGAGAAATCACACGTGACCAATGAAAACTCCTTGCTCTGTTCATTTTTATGTTGTTGGAATTTATCCAAAACGCTTCAAGAGTTTTTCACTCAAATTTTTACATCTCTGGGCGAGGATACTGAGTTCTATTTAAAATCTTCCTCATATGCCTTTGTCCCTTACGCATCCCTAGCTGAGTGTTCTGTTTGACTTTTAAGCTTCGCAACTAGGTGTTCTTTCATATGGACGCAGAGTGGTGCACGTTTGTCTAACGAATTGGTCTCCACATGCTTTACGAAAGATCAGGTACATCACACGCGAGCTCATGTAATCGCCTGCCTTTACCGTGAAGGCATGTTATGCAATTTTTGTCATGTACAGGCCGCTAAACAAGCGGTAACGAACTGTCAAGAGACTAAGAGTGTTCGCTAGCATTTCAATCACTGATACAAAATTTTTTTAGATCAGCCCTTTTCAAGGATCAGCCCGCTTTGTACTGCGTTTACTTCGTCGGAGATAAAGGGTAAGTTAAACGATACTTTGTTCTCGCTACTTACCTTCTGGAGCATGATATCTTTTCTGCACCTGTCCTGTGGAGCTGCCATTTCATTAAACTGACGAAGCCTTCGGCGTCGTTCAAACCCTGAACGATGCGCCATGCCTTTGGTTTCATTAAGCGTTGTTAGAGATTGTTGGATGCATATCTGGCCTATACAATGACTTGAGTTGATCAGCCGATGTATCGAGTCAGTGGTGCTATCCTCCTAGAGAGGTCTGGTACCAATTTGCCAGTCCTGTGAGGATGGAAAATTTGGTAAGCCTTGGGCACTGGGACCGATCCAGGTATATTGCAGGGCGCCTCTGACCATTGTGCTACACGCGCCCATAATTGTCGCGCCAGGTTCAGGTATTCCTTATTCTGCATCCATCTTGTGCGTCCACTGCTGGCTCCTCGAAACATGTTTTCACATACACACTTTCTGTGCGCAAATAGTGGTAAAGAAACCAGTATTTTTCGTTACTTGGCTATCGATATCATTTGACAATGTGGGCGTTCTTGGACAAATTAGTGTCAACTTTTAAAAACGGAACCAGTCTTTTTTAGGTATTTCCCGGGTGAAATTCACGTACTCTGACTGGTGGCTTAACAATTCAAAACATTGAACTCTTGTCTTGAGAATGATGATGATAAAACTGTCGTCGATATACCTACAGTAGAGTAGTGGCCGTAGATCGAGTCTAACGAAAGCAGAGTACCGTTTAACCTGTCCATTATTCTAGCGAAGTAAGCAAAGCGATGCTTAAAAAGGGACAGTCGAGATAAACCGCTACCACTTACTGAAATACAGCCGAGAACTCTAAGAGGCCAGCTAATTCGTAACCGTTTGATGACCGTCTATAAACGAAAAAAATTGAACAATGTCCCTTCACACCAGAGACAGGCGATTGCACGAGTTCAGGCGCAGTGTACTTAAGACTACTCTGTGGCCTTATAGAAGAGCACTTAGTCGGCTGACCTTAAGTTAAATCACATAATCGTGCATGGGACAGAAAAATAACAGAGAAGGTCTTGAAATAAAACTCATTAACCTCGTACAGAAATGAGTAAACTAAAACATAAACTAAAACATCGGCGTGTAAAACTCTTGAAAAATTTTGAATGAGTTTCAAAATCCGAAAACGAACCGGGTAAGGAGGAGTGACCTGTGATGACGCATGACCCATGCGGACCATACCTCAGGCTGATTTTCTGACCTGACTCAGGCATATTCCTCATCTATGTAGGATGCCCGTGTCACTGGTATATAACAACGATCACAACACATAAAAAGAACAAAACGGTGAGTGTTTAAAAAAGCTGTTTAGTATGCGAATGCTTATGCGCTGAGTTTTTTCTGCTGATCTTATGAAAATGTTCGGCCGAGTAGATAGAATGCTAGTACGGCCTTTCTAAGCTCTGAAGAAAGCGAAACTGCCCAAACGTAAGCCGGTACGAATTAATATTTTATTAACAACATCGTGACGGCTCAAGAAGAAAACACCGTGTTTTTGAACGACTCCGAGGTTAACAGTAAATCGATACCGAGCATTAATACAAAGATTGTCGTCAAACGTTTGTATTAATAGGTCGGTTGGTTATCAAACTCAACATCTTGTCAATCGGAAGTGAAAATCATTCATTGAGAACTGAGCACCAATATTAAGTTACGTATGAGCTTATCGTTAAAACGGATCCTGTTAATAAACATAGGAATGAACGAAAAGGCAGAAAAAGTAAGCAAATAAAAAGAGTCAAATCGATTTGTATAAGGGAGAACGTTGATTGGTAGAGAAACTGACACTTAAATATACACCGAGTTTATGAGATTGTTAAACTTGAAACGCCATATTGTTAAGTGGAACAGCAATCAGCGCGTAAATGTGACTAGGGAATGTTGAAGAAAATGTCACACTGCTCGGGACAGTTCTAGTTCTTTAGGTCTATTGTTTAGGAACAGAAAACGATGAATTCCCTTTTTCCTACGGGAAAATCATGATAATTTTAGAAATAATGCATCGAACAATGGTTGGGTACGAGAGACACCAAACCACAGTGATCTCTTACTGTAAAACATGCTAAGAACTTTTCTGGAAAAGTTTTCTGGAAAAAATTGATTACTGTTGATCATTGCTAAGCAAGAGCAAGATAAAATAATTCAGTCAACTCCAATAGAGGAAGAAAAAATTGAAAACATGACTAAAGTACTAATTGTTCCAGCGTTAGGCAGTGATATGGAAAACAAAGAATAAAATCAAGACGTCCTTAGCGTTCTCTCAACAGTGTACTTTCTTCAATTCTTGAACGACCTATGCTCACAATGAATCCTAGAAAGGAAGAGTTGGTCCTACGATTTGCTACAACGAAACTTATTGGGATGAGGATATTTTTCATCCGACTGATTCACGTTGATGGTTTGGTAAATCTCAGTCGTAGAGTGTCGACAAGCCTGCCCTAAGGCGTTTCCAGATCCTTAACACAGGCAATCGTCACCAAAATTTGCAAATTGAAGCGATCTAGCGACTACGCTGCAGCTATTTCTGGGCATTGGTGTACATTCTAAGTTAGGTGTTAATAATTATTCCATCTTATTTTCACCATAGTTTAGATTTAGATTACTAAAGTAGTTCCCGACAAAACCAAAACAAAAAATCAAACGACCAAAAAGTGTGCGACTACAGGCGCCCATTGATTCTCTGCTAATATATTATTACATTAGCTTCAACTATGAATAACTAAGTTGTGTAATTTTTTGAACAACACTGTACGGTGAAGAGATATGAGATAAAAAGGCGAAAGAGAAGGGGAGAGAGAGAGAGAGAGAGAGAGAGGGAGGGAAAGAGATGAAGTGTAAAGATAAAACTAAAGTTAAATCTCCGATAACTCAAAAACCTTATTGTAAGCTTTAGTTAAGGGACTGAATTTTTCGATGCCACTTCTACTCTAAGCACAAAATAGAAGAAATGATATGATAGCGAACAGCGTAAATGTGTTATACTAGTCTATTAGCTAGTTCACTGAAGTGTACTTGAAGGCTCTACAGCTTGATTGATCAACGTGAAGCTATGCACGAAAACTAGCCATACCTTTCGTTCAACTAAAACGTTTCTTTTTATGCAATGTTTGAAAATTGTAATATTCAGAAATAGGGAAGATACCATGTCAGTCAACTACTACAAATGACTTGCGCTTGAATGAACGAAGATGATCGCGGCTGCGCACTAATGTAGGATGTTAGTCACGTATGTCTAATCACATAGTGATCAAGTGCCAGGATACGCCGGCTCGATGGTATCACTGTCGTATACGGTGATGAGCGACAGCGATTTGACGTGACTGTAGACAGTATTACGATCGTGGATGTGATCGCGATTAACGAGTGATGAGAAAGACAAAGACAGGAAGAGGGTGGAACGGTCGAAAAGGATGAAATAGATGGAATGAAGAGAGAACACGAGCGCGTCGTTGTACGACATTCCTGGCGAGAGCGGCGAAAACTCACGAAACTACTTGAGACACGCTGTGCTGATGGTCAGCTTATAGTCGGCATCAATTATTAATTAAGGCACTACTGAATAACAAACAAACTACGCACTAAAGTAGTTAGTACAACCAGGGTCGAACGAGAATAGATGGGCGTATTTATTTCCCTTGATTAGGTACTTATGATGCTAAATTCCTAACATTTTTCCACTCGCTTCGCTGTATTTTAACGCTATCAACTGAGGTGGTCTATGAATAACTTCAAATGAAGTTGATGTTGTTATCTTCTAACCTGACTAACATGTTAAGTGATGATCTAGTGTGGTTTCCTCTGGAAATCCGAGATCGCTTGCTAGAGTGTTCCCGCGTCATCACCACTGGCGGTTTTATATATATTTTTTTCAGTCGTTCTGGATCAGAATGAAATCTGTTGCCTGGGGATTTTGATTATTCTTCCTGGACGATAACAATTCCTGTGATGGAGGCGAATCCTGGGAGTAGTCGACCTACAGCTCAAGAACAATGTAGCAAACTAAATCTCGGTTTATTTATCATTCTAATCCTTTTTTTGTATGTCCCGCCTTTCACAACCGCTGTGCGGATTTCAGTGCTTACACCCTTCGATTTGTTTCTTCACATCCATTATCCACAAAGGTCTTCCATCTTTTTACGTGTAGACGCGGATACTGCATAAGGACTTTTCTTTCTTCAAGAATGTGGGTAAATGCTGGTCGACTCGGTTTCCCCATCTAGTTCTAAGATAGCCGGACTAGAGCGTTCCCACTTGGATTGTGAAGAGTGGACCTTTCCTAGACAAATCCGGTATCAATTACTCGAGCTTGAAGGGATTAGAGGCTTGTTGAACCCTAATCTAACCTTCTCTGAATTCTAAAAGAAAACTTATGAACAGATTCTTACTATTCCGCACAATGGGTCAAGCACTTATCTTTCCATACCAAATGAACTACATACCAATACTCATTGCCCTAAGTCGTGGCCGTGAGCAGCTATCGCATGATCATGTTTAGACTTTTTTCTCAAGGGGTTGGTTAGCAAAAAAAATATAAAAGTGTGTCACCATACTGAAATAACGACAATAGCTGACCAACGGAGTTTTATTTTTAAGCAATACCATTGACCGTAAATTAAGTTCCAGAGCTGAGAATCTACAATTGTTCTTCACTAGTCGAAATGTAAAAGCGGCTGTCAACGGCAGTCGCCAAGATTCCGGCACACACTCCCGACTCCAAACAAAACATACCCAAACCGTCCTTGAAGATTACCCTAGGCCCCATACGACTTATGCAGTTGCTTTCAAGTAGCGAGCGTTGACACAGTGATTCAGTATGTGTAACGTCCCATGCAGTTATAATTTGTAAGAGAACCATTTTACTTAGATGCTTGTAAAACTCGATGAAAAAACCCATTCTACAAGTGTTGCAGTCTCCAGTTTATTTATCTCTAAATTTGTTTCCTTGTGTTGCCCGCCCATGTCAGTCATCTATCTGGTTCGTGTGTAATGTCCGCGAGTATCATACCGTGATTTATAAATCAAGTCTATTTGAGAATATAGACGGCTGATTGGAGAAATGGATACATCATCCCAGTTCGAGGTGGTCAAACTAGTCAATGAATACATGCTCTTGGTGTTAATCTTTCCTCAACTCTATCTAAAATGCAGAGCTTTTATTTAAAATTCAACTTCTGGCTTTATGTTGCGCATGCCGGTTACATTTAAGGGAACGTGGTTAAAACATTATTCTGAAGCGGGATTGTTCAGTTAGGGTGCGGAGTTCCTAGATTCTTAGTTCTTAGTTCTAGCTACCACTTAGCAATGTAGTCTCCAAGATGCCCGACCGCGACCTACACTAACTTTCATGTACTGCACCACTCAAATTTAGCGCTGTTTTCTACGTACAGTGAAAACTGCAGTCACACCTAGCACAAGGTAGGTGGGAAAAGTCGATGGACCATACTTTTCAACTTTTACCCATTTCTTGTGCCATGGGTTTCCTAGGAGTAGGACTACCTTCCGACTTACCTGCAGCCTTATCCTATTCATTCTATTCCACTTTTCAACAACGCTTCTAAGACATGCATTTATTGAAATGGTGAGAAATTAGTCTTAATTTGTTAATGATGCATCAAGGTGTCCTTTTTGAAAAGCTTCTTATTAGTCCTGCATATGCAACCTTCGTCAAGGGGCTCGATGTTTTAATCGCAATTCATTCGATAGTCGATAATCGATAACTGCTAGTATTTGGTTTTCCTTGCAAAACCGAACAGCCGCATAATAATGGGAAGAGCACAATAAGGAGGTCCCAAAATTTCCAATTCCGAGAATTCCGTTTCTACGTTTCCTTTCAGTAGCTCTCAAAACTCTAGTGTTGTGTTCTGTGAACAATATTTCTCAACGGAACGACCATCCTTTCTAAACGAAAAACGAGCAATGAATTCAGTTTGGTTGTTCGCAAGATGAATCAACATTATGACTGAAAAAACAGAAAAAAAAACACTCACCGCCTATCACGTTCTTCTTGATTATTGAAATAGCAAACTGCATTATATAGCAGTTTGATAGCTTACGAATAAATTCCTCAACCCAACAGGTGTTGCCGGTATCGAACTGTGATGCACAATAAGGTATCCATTTGTCAACATTTTTATTCCAAATGAAAAAGTACTCGACAATCAGCATTCCAGGTAGGGGTCAAATAAAGCACGATCTACCCTCTGTAAGAAACCTAGTTAGGAGGCCGGAAAGCTCCCCTGTTTCACATTGGCAGTCTGTTGCTTGCGACGAGTCAGGTAGACCCAGGAAAAAATCTTCCCAAGCAGCAATCTGCGTGGTTATTCTTAAAGACGAGTGAGCTCCACAATCGACGTTATTCGTGTGAAAAGTAACAATTAAAAACAGATAGTCATCGTAAGATGCAGATGTTTACTTTCTTTGATGGTTCCTCCATTAGAAAGATCAAGCCTTAAACACACCTACGGCGTTTAAAGAACACGGAGAACAACATTAAGGACGAATAGTTATTACTTTATTGTACTGATACCCTAAGATTCGGTTGCTGTAAAATGGAATAGTGTCACTACGAAGACCACAGCGAGAAGATACAAGCCTTGGACATTTGATTCAAATCAGTCGGCTCTAAAGAAGGAGAAAGCGCCAGAATGTTAGCTAAAATAAAATGCTTGCAAGAATCTCGTATTAGTTTTTCAGTAAAAGGAGATATTGACAATTTATCTAGCTTAATAAAACTTCGTTTCTAAAATTATTAACTTGCTACGAAGGAAGGTTAACACAGAGTAGGGACAGCAACATTAACAACTCTCAAGTCTCTCGGAGAAACCGTCGTCCAACTAACGGAATCCAAACATCGCGCTCATTATTTCAAATCAGCGATCCTTCTGACGTTTTGTTACGAAGAAGAAATTAGGTCAGTATTTCAAATAGGTTATAATGAGCAGCACCAAAGAACACTTGAACAATGTCTTCTGAAATTTTACTGGCACATAAAACGTCAAGGTGGAATGTAGATGTTTGAAAGTTACTCTCGTTTCACGAAATGCAGCGAAGCACACACTGAAAGCGAAACATAGATAGGTTGGCTAAATAATGTGATAAATAGACGACAGATGGAAGCGAGAAGCAACTGAGTGGACTTCAACAAAATTCAAGTGCCCTCTACAACGACTACCGAGCAGATGGACGGAAGTTTTCATGGCTCTTGTCGACTAACTGCATCCGCAGGAATTGCCAATTAGAAAATGAGGCTCGCAGATGACACCATGCTTAAAGAACACTGTCACCATGGAGAATCGCATAAGAATGGAAAACATATTGCGACATTTCGTTAAGACGGACTGTTTACGTATTAACGTAAAGTACGCCCTCCATAAATTAATCAGGCAATTATTCAATTAATTATGTATCTTGACAACGGTCTACCGTTCCATCGCAGCTGGGAAGTGCTCCTGAGCGTCGGGCTGCAATGAACAGAGGGGGATTCACTCCCAAGCAGGGTCTTCCAAGCTAAGAAGGAGTCTGCCATTTCCAGCAGGAAGGCCAGATAAGAGTAAGCCAATAGGAGGATCCGCCACCGTCTTGGTATGAAACTAGACGCTGGGAAATCTCCCACTGATCTGCAAGGGTAGCAACTGCCTGTGATGGTGGCGATCTGGAGCAGACTATGGTTAGGTTGACCTCGGGACTCAGGGAAGCTGGGGCTCGCACGACCAGAGAAGACACACCGTCCAAGTATCCAAGTAACTCTATCTATATTAAGCTCGCTTCAGCTAAAAAAGGAAAGTCCGTAAGAACATATTTACAGATATGTTTTAGCAAATGTTATGTATCTATGAAAAAAAACAAGAATGTGGAATAAAAAAGTGTTCTAGCACCTTATTTACCAACAACACTATGACGAAAGATACCCTCAATAGGCTACGAGATTAACACTGCACGTTATCATATATTGCACCAGAAAGAGAACAATTTTTATTCTCTAAATTCATACGGAAGCAAAATAAAGCACACCTCCAAATTGCCTCGTCCAGCTTCCGATGCATTAATGTTGAACTTCAATTCTTGCCCCACAAGGCCAATATCTAATCCATAGACCTGCACCAGACTGGCGTCGAATACCTGAACAACGAGAACAACGCTAAAAACTACTTTTCCATTTACTCTATCCGGAAAATTGAAAAACAATGAACAAGATATTAAGGTATTATTAAACACAAAGTACAAATCGTGTAGAAAGGATTATAACTAAGAAACCGAAAAATTTTTACTCAATACCTTGACACTCTTTTATAAGCGACTAGACATAAATGAAAGATTACTACGTGGGAAAATCGAGATTTTACAAAAACATTTTACGTTACAAACAGGAATTACAGTTCTTTCACATCGTGTTTGCACACATCTCTTTACATGATCCTTCTTTCACATCTACTGTGCGGATCCCAGCAAGTCTTCCGTTTTCATTTTTTAACCAATTAATCAGTTAATTGAATTAATTCTTAATGCGTTAATTCGCACCCACTATCCACGAATGTCTTCGAAATCTTCAAGTGTAGGTTGTGCTGGCGCTTGAGGGAGGTCGTTAGTGAGTTCCCAATTCGAGTACAACTAAGCTGCTCCCAGATAAGTCTGCTATTAATTCCAATGATGCTGAGATATTTGCAAAACTCCGGACCACAAGTGTCTATTATGGGGAACGAACGCGCTACTACCCTTTCCAGGGGGCCAATGCGTTGCTGATGGCACTGATCGATAGAACTAGCTGAGAGACAAATCAAACGAAGGACTCACATGGTGTGGTGGTGAACGCGTTAGTCTCTAGAAAGGGAAACGGCGCATTCGTTCCCCACCGCAGACACCTGCAGCCCAGAATTTTACAAATATCTCACATCACTGAAGTTACATTTCGCAATATACCCTACCATTAAAAAGGGTAGCCAGTAAATAATAAGTCGAAATTCTGTTACCAATTGCTCGACCCCAGAGGGATGAGAGGCTTGGTGAGCCCCGATGGTCGAGAAATTGGTAACAAAATTTCGACTTATTATTTACTGGCTATTTACCAGATAGAATCAGCATCATGCTCATGGTCATCAGCAGCATCACTACTACTGCGCTACCTACACCATTTTGTACACTATTTAAACTAATAAGGAGCGCGTGTGGCGCAGTGGTCGGAGGCGCCCTACAAAACACACGTGGGATTGATCCCGCGCCCCTCACTTACCAATCTTCCCAACCCTCCGGAGTCGCCAATTTGGTACCAAACCTATCTGAGAGGATAGAAGCAGTGGTTCTATAGATCGGTTGGCCACTGCGAATCATCGTATAGGCCAGATATGCATTAAATCATCTCCAATCGATGTTTAATGAAGTAGAATGCATGGCGCTTCCCTCAATGATTAATCAACGCTAAGAGCTTTATCCTTTTTTTATTTAAGCCAATGGAACTCTTCTTCCATGAAAACACCTTCTAAAATCTAGAAGCTGGCAAACTTTTCTTGTTCTTTTACAGAATTACTCAAGTTTGAAAATTTATACCAGCGGTCTCACCTATCCTCCCAATGAGTTACCGCCTCATTGTGGGTAAGAGGTGTTCCTGGGTGTCGAACAGCGATGTACAGTGGCGCGATTGATCCCCCAGCAGAGTCTCCCAAGCCGTAAAGGAAACCGCCATTTCCATCAGGAAACCCAGATAAGAGTAAGCCAATACCAGAATTCACCACCGTCCTGGTATCAAACTAGGCGCATGGTGGTAAATCTCTCACTGATCCACAAGGGCAGCGGCTGCCCGTGGTGGTGAAGACCTGGGGCAGACTTTGGCTTTACTAACCTCGGAACTCCAGCGAGCTACAATGGCTAAACCAGGAAGACTCGGAAAAACGGAGATTATGCTGAGGTCCGCACAACCAGAGAGGACAGTACCTCCAAGTGTTTAAGTTTCTCACCAAAATCACTACTATAACATTAATATATCGATGTAAACAGAAAAAGTTTTTCAAAACAAAAAAGGCTCTGATCGCAGGATAATCTCTACATGAAACTGCTCCATGGTTACTATTAGTGAAACTATAATTATTATAAATAATGTTATGGTTATTATCATTTTCGCTATTATTAATAATATTACTTTTAGTATCATAGTCAACATTACTAGGATTCATATTATTACTAGTAGTGTTATTTGTAAAACTAAAACTATTGCCATTAGGCGCGTGTGGCGCAGTGGTCGGAGGCGTACTGCGATAGACACACGGGAGCGATCCCAGCGCCCGTGGATCACGAAGCCTTCCAACCCTCTGGCGTCGGCGAATTGGTACCAGATTTGTCTGGGAGGATATCAACACTGGCTCGATATATCGGCGGGCCACCACGAGTCATTGTAAAGGCCAGATATGCATTCAATCACCTCCAAAGATACTTAATGAAGTCGGATGCATGGCGCATCTCTCATGGATGGAAGAACTCCGTGAGCTTTACCCTTTTTTGATACGTTACTACTAAAATTTGACACTAAAAAAGAAGGTAGTAAGCACGAGTCTAATTTAGAGAGAAACTTCGCTGTATTGCATCAACATAACTACTTTTTTTTTACTTTTACTGTTTCTTTTTCGAATATTTATTTCATCCCTCAACAACAGTTACACTTTTTGATAGGACAGAGAGGAAAGTACACATCATTTTCCAGCCATATGCATCCACTAACTAAAAACGAATCGGACAATTGACGAGAGAACTCTAAAAGTCACTCACTTGACACGAGAATGGACTTCCACGAATATGTTCACCTTCGTACAGAATGCCAACTTTCCACAAACCTTAACATTTCCATGAATAGAAAAACAATCAAATCCCAATTGTTACGACAATGTGAAAGAGGAATTCCTAATCAGATATCTGAAATGAGTTAAATGTTAGTCAAAAGGCATCCCAACAATATTTTTCCGAAGAATTTTACCAAATATTTTTATTATTTTAATCGCGACACCATATTCGTAACCACTCGCCGAAAGGTCATTAGAATGACGGATTACAGAGAGATATCGATCCCGATAAGAAATCTCCCTTGGAAGTTGTGTGTGCTTGCCGGCGTTACGATCGTTGAGATCGATGAATAAGAAAGAAAAGTCGAACTATAGAAAGTATGGATAGGAGTAAATAACAGAAGAAAGCATGAATTACTGCTTCAACAGATGCGTATTGATGAAAAAACGATGCTCGTTGGCCTTACTACAGTAGAGAATAGAAGAGTATACGAATATCTTAGTGAGTCTGTTTCGATTGTAAACATACTGTTACACATTCTTTCATATCACAGCAATTAAAAATGGTGAAATCCTCTTTACGAATACAGGCAGTAGTTCATTGGTGATCCACTACTGTTTGAAGGAAGTTCTGTCACAAAGTGTTCAGCGTTTGCAATTTTGTTGTACATTCACGCTCTAGCATGTTCTCCTATGTCCACGTTAATTCGCTCAGGTAATCAACAGCACGTATTTTTTATGGAATTCACATGCCCATACAAACATTTATAACATGTCGTTTTCCAAAGAAATACGTGGCGAACTCACCAACTTGCTGAGGTGTGAAACTGGCCGTGTACGAGTTAGCACGTTTCGACACCGCACACGATTGAACTCGTCCACTTGGTGATATTGCATTCACTTGTACAGATCCGGTAGCACATTCACCATGAGCATTAATCTGAAACCCTTTCGGAATTTATTCGCCTTTATTGCACTCATTACTATTTTATTCGATGTTTATGCTCCTTCTCTACTCACACCCTAGTAAACTTCATCGATTCCTTCCAGTCTTGCTAACCATGACAGAGATATTATCTTCGCTTCAGCAATCTCCGACTACACGAAAAAACGACTTTGAACAACGAAAGAACATCGGTCGATTTGTAGTGGTATTGCTAATTTTAACGAAAACAGGAAAACGTCACGCAATACTGCATCCGCAGAAAAATTAAATAGGCATGAAGACGATCCCAGAATTTTTTTCCTTTTTGTAAGAACCACATATTTGTATAATCCCTGCTTTCTCAAAAACCTCATAAACAAAAGGTATCGGGAGTACTAAAATCTACTCTTTAATAATGTGCTGTTCTAGTATCACAGAATACTCACTACAACTTCTACGATGGAACCGACGCTACATGGTTCGCTGAGACCGGAAAACGACACCAAGCCGATGTCAGCCGATCGTAGTGTCATCTCTTGATGAGCTGACGCTTCGAACAATACAGCCTGAAAATTGTTAACATAGCATAACATAGTTCTCATGATAATGGCATCTCCAACTGACCTTTTTGCAAGTTTTACTTTTTCGATGAGGCGATGGTTTGCGTTGAAGCTGTACTAGAGATTTCTGTCGTTTCTGAAAAATTTCACGTAATAAGCAACTTATAGGCCTAACTCAAATTATCACTTACTGAGTTGTTCTGGGTCTCAAGTTGTTTGATAGAATGAGATCGTTGTTGGGTGAACGATTTATGCGAGATGCCCGCGTCCGAATTGGAGTCGGACTTCTGCACGGCGTTCTCGCCACTAACTTTTGTGATATCGTCACGAGATGCGCTTGAGAACGATCGCGAGTCTGCTCGTGATTCTTCGGTTGACAGCACGTTCAAGGAAATCGGACTTGATGGCAATTCCAATCCTTGACAATAGATTCGCACCTTAAAATAACGATGTGAACAATCGAAATCTACTGCAGCAAAACCACAAAGGACGCTCAAACGAAAAGCCCAGAACCGATATGTCGATAAGCAGCCAGTAATATCACCCACGAAAAGACCAATTACAACTGATTATTCTCGATTTATTAACGACAGGGAGTAGTCGCAATGAGCGAAAATGACTATATCATTTGGCTTCAATATTGGCCGGAAGTTCTTCAATGGTTATTTTGCGACTAGCAGCGATCAAATGGAAGCCATTCTGTGATATCCATGAATGGGATGGTGCGGGATGACCGGACATTCAACTCTGAAATGTAACGATGTCCTAGAAAGTTTACTCAAAAAGAATGATGAAAAAGAAATCCGCGAAATCGAGTGGACAGACTAAACCTCCGTTATTTTTCCAATTTCACAAAAAAAGCAACTTCAATAAAACTTTTTTACATCCTTCCAATTAGGGCCAAGATTTCAATTGTATAGAGGAGTAGAACAAAAGTTTACTTGCTTCGTTTCGTTATACTAAGAGTCTAACGTGTTGAACAAGCATTCTACTAGATGAATAACTACATTTATATTTGCAATACTCTTTAACAACCGTCATAAATTGAAGTAAGCGAATTTGCAAGCAATTCTAGTTACGAAAACATCACGGTCTTCATAGGACAGGTTTCCTTTTGTGGTTCCCGCACAACGGAAACGATAAGGTATTGGCGAACATGTTGTCGAACATCAGACACCGACAGCAATAGTCATCATATGTCAGAAGAGGCGTTGAATTTGCTCTTTCATTAACTCGGAACTATTGATGAACGCACTGAGAGACACAAACAATAATGAATAGGAAACAGAAACAAATGGGACACAGTTGGGAGCAGTTATTCAAAGGAATCGTAGAAGGATTTAACAAAAACTGTGTGTGAAAGAGAAATCAGTCGTTGACCAAAGTTTATGAAATTTATGTATCTCTCTTCTCTAGTTGTTCACCAAAACACAGCAGATGAGACGAACGTTCAGTTCTTCTTTTCCCTTTATTTGAAATAACTCTGCTGTAAAATACTTCACGATATTACATTAGCATCGAATACTTGCATTATTTCTAAAGAATCTGACATTACAAATAGCAACAAAAAAAGTATGGTCAAAGACCATTTAAAAATCTGGATTGACTAGAGCAACAGCGACGCGGTAATTGTCTTTTTCATGACAACCTTCACAGTAGTGCTACCAGAACGTTCTCTTTCATTCAACAACCTTAGTAGAAGTTTTGCTGGGCATCGTTAGGAATTACTCTTAGGAGGTTAAATTAAAGGGGGTTAAAGGTACCAATAAAATAATTTATATCGTTATGGAATTTATGGATGGAAATGCTCTTCAAAATATAAAAACAACAAATATTCACTTGGATGAAAAGTATTCAACGAGTTACTGAACTAAGAAATCGATCTAAAGAATACTACTGTAATACTGTTGAAATAGTAATGATAGTTTCAGCAGGATATGGATCGTCCATCACGAGCATCTCCATCCACTGAGACGCAGACAAACTGCATGCATTACGGAAAACAAAAGGTGGTATAATTCCATAAAAAAAGAATGAGAGAATGATAGAACGATGGTGATAACAATAAGAATGACAAAGCATAGATTAACTCATAGAGTAATTGACTGAAGTCATAATACTATAAACTATCAGGAGTAGGATTCCAACTATGTTACTTCCACAGGCAATAAAATAGAGACAAAATACTTGATACGCGGTAATACAACGGCCATGTATCAGGATGGTTTCAGTCTGAGTGGGTTGCTGTAACATGACTAACACTTTTCCCGCAGTCTTGGGAAAGCAGAAACTATTGTTAGCTCATGTGGGTTAAATGAAGCTTCATCCCATAGTGGAAATAGTTTTTCGAACAGCGTGGGGATTCACAGGATTGATTGAGCTGAAAAAACAACCCTTAAAGTTTGGTCATTAGATATTTCTCTTATGAAAACTCAAACACTCAATAAAGAATAGAAAATATATCTATTAGGACAATCTTAATCTATATGGTTAAATTATCAACGGTATGCACAGATACGAACACGAGGCCAGCTACCAAACGAATCAACATAGTTGAAGAAACAACGATAGCAGCGGTCAGTTCACAAGCGCATTTGAACAATTCAAACATTCCGTATTATTCATATTACTTGCACTAAGCAACAACTTTCTTACTGTAGCCGGAAAAGACACGCAACTGCTACGTTCATGATTAGCACACATTAGGCTGTTATAATATATTATTTATTCACAACATCTGACGTCTCAGCGGATTTCGTCTTGTTCAGAGCCTGGAGAGGAAAAAATTAGCCCTAACGTAGCCCGCTAAACACCTCCATAACCTCAATAGGAAGACCACGATGTCTAACTTCCAACCGCATTCGATATAGAACAGCTTCTTCACAAAGTCACCGCTATCTATGAGTCTTCCGTTGAGTACACTCTACATCGAAATGAACCGCGCAGAGTTTACGTGAATAGGTGATGCGTCTCTCTAACAATAATACATCAGTCTTAAATGTGATGTGAGATGATGGTTGATAGCGGGGCATTCCTCCCTGTGGTTCGCTTTTGGATTCTTGGGTAAGTGCAAGACAGTACATTCTGGCGTTTTAATTTTAAGTTGAGAAATAACTGATGAAACATTAAATACACACAACTGCATTGTCATAACCCAAAGCGAGGTAATAATAGTTTGCACTTCCCAAGTATATATAAACGACTCTCAACCACCCATCTAGGTATACTTTTTGGAAAATCACCTATTCAAAAGTGTCGTCTCAAATAACTTCGTATAAAAAGCCAAAAAAAACATTAATCGAACACTTCCATATTAGGGGCACGGCGTTAACCTTTTCCATAAGGATGAGCTATGTATTCGACCCCATCCAGTATCGAAGAGATGACTGAATGCATATTTGGTACACATAATCACTCTTAGGTGACTACCGATACAAGAAGTCACCTCTGATATCCTTCCAAAGAAGCCTGGTAGCAAGTTGCAAAAGGTGTGGAGCCGGGAACCAGACGCTGGATCGAACCAACAACCAAATATGTATCGCAGGGTACCCCTAACCACTACGCACAACATAGATTACAAAAGAGAAGAAAAATGGAAGACAGAAAAGAAAAACAAATTAATGGATGATCTTATGAATAGTAAAACTACGACAATGATGACGGTAATTATTTAGGATGTGATGATATCCGCCAAGTTCATTTCAGCCGTATTCGGTGATGCGAACAGAATCGGCAGTTTTTTTTCAAAGTGAATGCCTGTGTTGAACGACGATGCGGTCTACTGCTGTAATGCGCAATCATTCGATTTGTACGGCTACCATCATAACATTCATCATCCTATCAAAATTATATGTGACATTAACATAAGATGCATTCAGTTAAAGTAAAAATTCAGAAATTACTGCAAATAGCTGGAGAAATGGGAAAATTTTCGCCCTACCTTCACGTCTTGTCTACGGAGACATTAAAGATCCGATTTCCTATTCGCCGATTCAATTACTTCAAAAAGGAAAGAAAAACAAAGTAGGAAAAATCACTGAAAACGAGAGAAAGAACTAAAATGCTTACTATTTACCCATTACTGAAGCATATCATGAATTCCACAACTACGCAAACCCCTGAGAAAATGAAAACAGATCAATGCAATTTTTTCTTCTGTAACTAATACAGAAAACGAATACCGGAACCTAGTCGCCGGAGTTCTTAATCCAAGACAGGTCAAGGCAGATAGGGTCATACATAGACGAGTTGTTTTATAACAACGATCCCACATATCCCAAAGTTGATATAATAGAAATTTGATACAAGTAATATCCTCTGATAAAAGACCAGATTACAGATCGAAATTGCAAGGAAAAATAAAGGGCAAAAAACAATACTCAAATACGGATCATCAAGAAGGTGAAGTCTTTTTCCAAGATTTTTCCTTTCAAAAACATAGCCTTGCACTCATCTAACGAAAAAAATGAGAAGAATAGGCGATTGATTACTTAAAATACGTACTACACATACGGGGTTGGCTTGACTGAAAGGGCCGCGAAGAGGTGTGGTGATGGGCGGAGTCGAGGTGGCAATAAATACGCCAAGGTCTCTCTCAGGTCGGTGCGCAGACCGCTCAACTGAATGGCAAATTGGAAGTAAGTGCGCTGAGCGGATCGAAGCCAAACCTAACAACATGTGTATGTATATGTATATGTATATGTATATATACACATATACATATATATATACATGTACATATATATAAAAAGACAAAGCTTTCGGCACCGATCAATCCCTAGGAGATGCGCCATGCATTTGACTTTATTAAGCATCACTAGAGGTGATTGAATGCATATCTGGCCTACACAATGACTCGCGATAACCTAGCGATGTATCCAGTCAGCGCTGCTATCATCCCAAACAAGCCTGTTACCAATTTGCCGACTCCGACCCCGGATGGATGGATGGCTTGGTGAGCCTAGAGTACGGGATTGAATCCATGTGCGTTGCAGAGCACCTCTAACTGTGTTACACGTGTTTAATTTTTATGCATATATACATATACAATGTTGGCATATAAATCCCAAACCTGCATATATACGCACGCAACTGATTCAACAACACGAACACTGAGTTCTTTATAACCTAAGTAACTCGACTCCTCGACCCGGATCTTTTATCTATATTCACCATAATGGAAACTTCAGTTTGGCCATCTTCCACCTCCGGATCTTCGACAAAACACGAAAAAACTATATAAAATTGTCCTGCGCAAAGCAATTAAAATCACAGGGAAGTAAAATTGACACTAAGCTAAAGATCATTTCAGTGTCAAAGTGATTGAAGAGCGACATATGGTGGCGGCATTTATCCATAAATCTTAAACAGAATCGCTTTGTGTGGAAAATGTCGGCAACACTGAATTCGGTCACGGGAAATCCATCAATAAAGCTTGTGATTTCATAATACACAACTCTAACGCAGAATACCTTAAACCTAATCCGACAACCACTTC